ACTAGCTCCAAGAAAGGTATTTGAACTGTGAGTTAAATGTTTTGACCGCGTTGTCAGGGCAACGAAAGGGCGAATTGATTTATTAAGAAACATTTACTTATGCATAAGCATAACTCAATATTTTCAGCTGAGGAGACACACTCCAGACTCTTAAAGCAAATGCCGTGACACACTTTTGCCCAAAGAGAGAGAGCGAGCAGGAGAGGGTGTGTGAGCAGAGAGTGAGGACTTCCATTGAAAAGTGGGGTTGCTCTAGTGAATGAGCAAATGCTTAGCTGTTAACCAGATGCGAGGCGTGGCAACTGTTGTCTCAAGAGTAGGGTAGCGTCACGCGTTTAATGTGTTAACGCACGCAGCCAAATAGCTAAACAACTTTTGTGTCTCGCCAAAATGGGGTCGACTTGGCTGCTATCCTGTACTCAAATTTATCTTGTCTTTGAAGTCGAAAAACGCCGCAAATAAAAACATAAATAGCTAAGGCCAGTTCTTCTGCACACGCCCAAATGCCGTGCCCAGTTAACTGTAAGTGGGGTAACTACAATTTGTCTAGGGGTTGCTTCATTTACTCACCATAAAAATCCAAATGTTGTTGTTTTTGTTGTTTTTGTTTGCAGCAATTTGCGTTGTAATTTTGAATATTTGAACACGATGCGCAGTTTTTTTTTAGAGTTTTTTTTTGGAACAAGAAATAGAACACATTTATTATTATTTATTATTATAAATAAAGCAGAAAGTTTTGCTTGCAGCTTGAGGATTGGTTAGTGGCAGTCAAGCAAATGTGTGTGTCTGTGTGTGTGTGTGTGTGCAGTGCAGCTGAGTGTATGCTACTCTTATGTATGTGTGTGTGGGTGTTTAGCAAAAAATAAATACAAAAAAATTGTAGAAGTGGTTGGCAGGAGTGGGCGGTTAGGAAAGTAGCTTGGGCATTGCTTAAGCAAAATGTGGAATGTATATATATAAATATATAATATATATGTAGATATATATATATATACTTAAAGCAGATTGGCGAAAGTTGAAACTTCAGTCTACTCACACTTGAGCCGCAAATGTTTTAGCGCACTTTTAAGTAGTTAAAAAAGTCAATTTTGTATTTGTTTTTTTATTTTAACACTTGCTACAAATTACATAAAAAAAAACACAGAAAACACGAACCAATTTCTAGCTACGTTTCAATTAACTAAAACACAGTCGCTTATTTTCCAAACATATAAAAATATAGCCGTTTAGTATTTGTTATTATTATTATATATTGTTTATTGTTTCTTTTGTGGACAAATTGTGTATATTGTGTTATTATTATTGTTTTTTATTTCGTTGCTGTTCCATTAGTCGACTAGACGTGTGATGAACTTTACAAAAGTCGTAAAATTAACTGAAAGAAATACACATTTTGGTTTAAATTGAACTTGGCTTGGCCCAGAGGCGGTTGCAGGCTAGAGATGGGCGCGTGTTCACTGCACGAATCATCGAATCTTTTAATAATAATAGTATATTTTTAAATTAATCATAAGCACATACACACATACACATATATTCACACTAAGTTTGTTAGCTAAGCCCACATTTCAATACATCAAAACAAAAACTGTAGATAAAGTAATGTTTAAATTCTTTGCAGCTTAGTCCAACATTAAAAATTCTTATTAGTATCGAGGCCAGACCAACATAAAAGTCTTATAAGAATCAAAGCAAGCGCCCAACTCTAGCTTTTAACATATTGTTGGTGTTTTCAATGTCGCGCTGATAAGTTCGACAAACGAAATACAAATTAGGTTGCCCTTAGATCGAAATGTTGACTAGACTCTTGCCAGCACAACTAAGCCATACAAACACACACACACACACAGAAACACGCACACACATATGTACGCATAGGCTTTGAGCCGTTGTTAGAGCGGAACAACATAAACAACAGCCAAGCGCCGGGAGCAGCGAAATGCACAGCTTCATTGACAACTGATTGTCTACACACACACACATGCATAAGTACATGCCAGCATACATGCATTTGTATGTGTGCATTGTTGCTCAGATTATTGTTTACCGCATTTCGGTATTTACAGACAGAATATGTACAAATTGTATTTAATTTTTGCAAAGCTTTCAAATATATATATATATATTTATTTTCTACATATTTTGTCGCTAGCTGCCAAATTTCAACCGCAAGCGATACACACACACACACGCTCACACATACGGGTTCTTGTTGTTGTTGTTACTGCCAGTTCTTGCTCTTTCCTTTTTGCATCGTATTTTGTGGGTGATTCTCTAATAGGTGCAAGCAACAACAAGATTTGCCGCTGTTTTACTGTAGCCCCAAGCATAAACACACGCACGCACACGCACACACACACACGCACGCAACACAGCGCGGCTGAGCTTAGTTTCAATTGGATAGAGAGAGATAATTGTAAATTATGCAGCACTAAATATATATAATGCGTTAATTAATTCGAATTTTTCACTGTAATTTTCATGGATTTCAGTTTGTGGTTTAAAATAGGTAAAATAAAATTCGTGCGCTCGTACCACCCGTTCGCGCTCAGCTGTCCAATAAGACTAACTGCTTGCAAGTCAAAAAGTTCGATAACGATGACTTGCTCCACATTGAACCAGTTCTGTGCCAACACGAACATAGTTCTGTGCACAAATGTTTACGAACTACTTACTGCAAAGGTAACGTTATTTTAGCACGTAAACTAAATATTGTTCTTTGTGCTGTATTAGTTATTATGACTACCTAGAAAATAAATATATTTGCTTAAGTTCTCAAACGTGCATTTATAATCGTTAAGTGCCACACCGCATGCGCAGCTCTAACAAAATTCAGAAAAGCTTTTGATGACATTCATAAGCTAACTGCTACAAAAGTGCAGTGTGTTAACAGCAATTCAAAAAATACCTTTAGAAATTCCCATTATTTTCCGTTAGCCATGCCCAATTTAAAATAAAAGTTATGCTTTTTTATACATACAAACGCTTGTTTATTTCACTTGACGTTCTTTTAAATTTTGCTTATTATGCATTCTATTCCATTCGCTTCCGATACGATATCTGCTTATAACTTATGCCACTTAGAGGTCTAAATGAATCCGTTGCTGATTTTTATTTTGATCTCAAGTCCAGATTTTATTTTACTGCTGCTGCTGCTATTGCTGCCGCTTTCGACTTTTCGAGGCTTCTCTTGTTATATGCTTGTATATTGAATATTTGTTGTATATATAAGTGTATAATATATATATATATATATTTAATTTAATACATAAAAATTACGCGCTTACCACTGCACAAGCCTGATTCACTTTATAATCATCTTGTTTTCTTTTAAAATAGTTGTTTTTGTTTTTGTTGTTTTTGTTGCAGTTTTTTAGCCAATGCAAAGATCATATATAAAAATACAAAAAATCATAACATTTTCATATACACCGCCCCATATACAATACATATAGAACTAGGATTAAATATCTCTAAATCGACCTTGCACAATCAATATCAAAAATTATTATTATTTAAAATTAATGTCCCTCCGCATTGTTGTATAAATAAATGTTTCACTTAATAAACAATTTCACTTCGTTATACATATATATTCATATGTCTTAAGAACTAAATTCATCATCATCATCTCCAAACGTATTTCATATTTCGTATGTTTTTTGCTTTACGTCTCGTCAAGTTGTTGTATAAATTTCACTATTTAGTCTTAATTGTATATGGAAGTTGAAATATGTTCAGAATTTAATCAACTAGGAAAACAATTTGGGTCTCTATATAATGGAGAGGGAGGAGTGGAGCAGGTGTGTATCCAAGTTAATTGCTAATTGGTATTTATGAACGTTTTAGGTAATACTTGCGCCAACTCTTCAAGTCTTCAAGTGGAGCCTTTTAATAGATAGATAGATTATCGATATCTGTTTTGTCTAGTTGTATTGTATGTGTATTGTTATGTATGTATTTAACGCTAATGCTGAACACCACACTCAATTCCGCTTTGAAATGTTTTTGAAGACTTTTAGCTTGTTGTTCGAGTGAATTTCGGATTTTTGAGTTTGATTCACACAAATTTCTTGTGTTTTTCTTTTCGTTTTTTATGAGATCGTTACTTAGGAAAATGTTTTTTTCGTGTTGTCAGTTTATCGACTGGGGAAATGTTGTAGAGTTCTATCAAAGTTCTCAAATGCAACGATTGTATCCATAGTTGTGATTAATTTGATTACTTTATGGAGCGCATCCATGGAATTGTGACTTTCATAATTTGCATTTGCAAATTTTGGAGCCAGAATTCTTCGTTTCCTTTCTTTAATACTATACTGCTTACAATGCGTGTATCTAAACTTGTATGCATGTGTGTGTGTGTGTGTGTGTATTGCTGTGTCTGTCTTTGTGTCTGTGTTGGTATACGTATATGTAGAATAGATAGATGCTTGTTAAAATTCTTTTTTTTTTTTGCGTTTTTTCTCCTTTGTGGGTTTATTTTTGGCTTATGTTTATATGTTAATATTTACGAGATTTTGATTTTTTGTTTTTGGTATTTTAGAAAAGCGAAAACGAAATGCATTTGAAATAAGTGCTCAGAGGCCGGTTGGGTAAGAGGTCAAGGGGAGGCGAAAGGTTAAACACAGAGCAATAGTATACATTGCATTTTGTTGTTGATGCTGTTGTTGTTGTTGTTCACATTTTTAAATTGTTTATCCTTATGTAAAAATATTGTACAGTTGTAAATTTACACACTACAATTTGTTTCATCGCACAAAATTTGTTTACAGTTTTTTCTCCTTTGCGTAACTTAGAAATCGATTAGAATTACAATTATTTTTTGACTAAATTTTCTTTTTGTAAAAAGCTGATACATCATAATCGCATACTTGTATATGTATGCGTATATATATATATATATATATATATATATACTTAGTTATACATATCTGTATATATATTTAAGTCTATATATCTATATAGATATATATATATATATATAAATTTGTATATGCTTGTATATATGCCCATTATGTTGGGCGCCATTAGAATATTTGAATTAAATACAATTAAAATATTTAAAAATTACACATTTAAATATTTGACGCGATTTCTGTTTACATGCAATATATAACTCAGTTCGTGATTCGTGTGCTAGTTTTTGCCAGAGACATGCCCTCCCGCCCACATGGACAGGCTCACTTGTAGGACAGTGTATCTTCTAGTTGCTGTTAAACTTTCTCATGATATACTCTTGATGATGTAGGCAGTAGACAGTAATAAGAGGCTGCTTTGAGGCTAAGTATATTTTGTGATCTATCTACGATTGAACTCCGATTTGATAGCTGCAAGGTAACAAAAGGTGGTTTAGTGTACATCTCAGAGCATACAGTTGGAGAGCTTACCGTCTATGATCTCGTTTTTCACTTTCTGTATCTCAAGTCGCATCTCGCGCACTATCTCTGCTTTCAGGGTGTCCAGATCGCTGTTGGACAGCGCCAGCGACAGACCATCGCCATTGACCTGCTATGCAAAGCGGCAGTTTGATTATAATCCTAAGTTTCTCAAATGAACCAACTCGAACTCACCTTGAGTATGGTCTCCTCGCTGGCACTGCCGAAACGCTTGCGCATGGGACGGGGCGATTCACCGCCACTGTTCGATGTATTGTTGCCATTGGCACCACATTGTGCATTAGATGCGGCTGATGTGTTGGTGCTGCTGCCGCCGCCACTGCTCAGCTTGTGTGGCAGCGTATTTGACTTTTCCCACGGCCGTTGTTTGACTTCCGGTTCAGGGTCAGGCTGCACGGAAGGCATGAATATTAATTAGATCAATTTAGATTGTCACGTTTCGAGTGGCTCACCTCCTTCTTCTCGGCCTGCGCGCGACGTCTAGCCAGTGTCTTGGCCATCTCGTCCATCATGGATGCCATGCCATTGGAGCTGCGTCCAATGGTGCCATAGTTGCCGCTACCGGCGCTGGAGGTGCTGCTGCCGCTGTTCTCAGGAGCAGATGTGGTGGACTACAGCAATTAAAAGATTAAGCGAGTTGTCAATAAGATGAATTCACTGAGATTCTACAATTTTAGTTTACCTTGTTCTTCTTGAGCTTGAACTGCTGCAGCTGGGAGGCCAGTGAACCCATTAGATCAGCCTGCGGATCATCCTTCTTGCCTGCACCGCCTGCGCCTAAGCCTGGAGGCGGCGGCGGTGGTGGTGGTGCGCCAGGACCGCCTGGTCCGCCCGGTCCCCCTGGTGGTCCACCCATAGCTGGTGGCGCTGGGGGTGCGGGTGGCTGCGGCGGCGCTGGAGCCCCATTAAACATCTGTGGCGGCGCTGGCGGTGCACCGCCGAATGTGGGTGGCGGTGGTGGTGGCGCTGGCGCAGCCACTTGTCCTGCTCCTGTGCTGCTCATGCGATTGAGTGGCGGCGGCATTGGCACACCACCGCCCGGCTGTTGCTGCTGCATCATTGGCGGTGCCAGCGGCACTTGGCCATACGGATTCTCCGGCTGCTGTTGCGACTGCTGGCCATTGTGTTGCACATAGCCAGCAGCGGGCATGCCAGGCGCCTGCGGTGGCTGTGGCGCTATCAACTGCTGTTGACTGGAGTAGACAACGCTGTTGGAACTGGCCGAGCTCGGTATATGGGCTGGCTGTGTGGCACCGTATATGGGCCCGCCTCCGTTCTGATGCACCGGCGGCATTGGCATCGGCGGCTGTGGCTGTGTCGGGTATTGATGTAGATTGAGATTGGGATTAGAGTTTGAGAGCACATAGTGGGGCTGCTGGTACTGCTGGCGGGTGGTTGTAGCGTTTGGTAACGGTGGTAGCGATGGTGGTGGTGGTGGTGGTGGTGGTTGGTTGTTTGGTAGTGGGTTTTTTTGGGAATATTTCAAGCCAATTGCGGACGTACGAATGTTTGGAATGAAATGAAACAGAAATAGGGTAGGTAAACGTAGCGACATAAGCGGAAAGTCATGCTGCTGGCTCTAGAGTCAAGCACACCTACCTGTGGGGGCGCATAGCCAGCTTGGACCATCTGTTGCTGTTGTTGCTGCGCAGTTGTGTAGACGGGCTGCTGCTGCTGTTGCTGTTGGTACTGTTGCTGCTGCTGCTGTTGTGTCTGACCGGGTGCTGGTGGTATTTGCATTTGTGGATTGCCCTGCTGCTGTGGCAGGCCATTGGACGTTGGCCCGTTTCCAGTGGGTCCGTAGTGTGAGCCTGGTTGTGGTGCCAGTTGCTGCTGCTGCTGCTGCTGTTGTTGTTGTTGCTGCTGCTGCTGCGGCTGTGGAGCCGGTGGTGCGCTGAGGGAATTCCTTTATTTTTTGAGCAATTTGTGATGTGATACGTCGAGAGATCGATGAAGGTATGTATATGTGTGAGTGTGAGTGAGTGAGTGAGTATGTGAGTGTGTGTGTGTGAGAGATAAAGTGTCGAATAACGAGTATTAAGTATCAAGTATCGAGTACGACGACAACAAACAGAACGGTGTGCATGTTACAGTTACAGAGTGTGGGTGTGTGTTGGTGTGTGTGAAAGAGAGAAGAGAAATGAACGAAATCAAAAATCACATGTCGACGACTGATTGAATTGATGATACTGCAATGAAGCTGCGATTGCTCGCGCGACCCACCTGCTAGTGCGATGATGTCCCTGCGGCGTTGGTGGACTCTGTGGTATATTGTTCTGATTCGTCTGCGAGGTGGGCGTCTGGGCCGAGGGCGTTATGTGGCCACCGATGCCGTTGTTCTGCCGCAATATGGCCGCATCCTCGCTGGTCATTGTACGATAGCCCATATCTTCCTCGTAGCCATTGCCGTTGGTTGGCTGGCCGGCAGGATTGTTGATCACGCGACCGCTCAGGACCTGATCGCAAATGGTTAACAGCAAAAAAGTGAGTTAGCCATTGTCGATAGCTGATTTGGTTGGCATTGCCAACACTTACCTCCAGGGCATGCATCATAGCACGCGCAAAATTCTCGGCATCGCTCTGGCTGGAAAAGTTGAGACCATATACATATTTGGAGTCGCGCCATTGATGGAACGTAGCCGTAGCCTGATTGTATTTGAGACCCTTCAAAATGGAACAGTTGATGACCACCTCATGATCCTGCAACTTGCGTCCCACCACACGGAATGTGTTGTTCTGCTGATGATGGTAGATCTGCACCTTGCTCAATCCCGACGAGCTGCCCGATGGCACCCACTTCTTCTGGTTGTCATCGTACACCATCACAGAGGCGCGTGCGCCAATAATGCTTTGCTCACTGCCAGCAAAAACGGGAAAGTAAAAGAAACATATACGAAATTAGTGCACTGCGACACAGCAATTACAATTCGAACTGGGAAGCCTATAAAGATGCCGGACTGACTTAACGATTAATCAGAAAAGCATTAGATGTTCATTTATTCAAAGAACAACTTGACTCGACTTGACTTCCCCGACCACAGCTATGTTTTCTTGTTCTCGATCTCGGTCTCGGTCTCAGTCGTGGTCTTGGCTTTCACACACAGTTTCACACGATTGCGTCGAGTGCAGTGATCTTTTGAAGCTGGGAACTGGACAGGAAACGCATTGCGTAGTATATCGTGCAGCTGAGACAAAAAAAGTGCACACCTGTCATGCAGTTGTCATTGTCATTAAATAATTCTAATGATCTTCTATGCAACCTTTAACATATTTTTTCCAGCGTTGACAATTAAAGCGAAGAGAAAAGTAAACACACGTTGCAATAGAAAAATCTTGAGCTATGTTGCGAACATGACGCTGATGACAAGAACTTGGAGTTTAGCTCAGATTGTAGTCGCTGTGTGCTACTGGCCAAGAGTTAATGACAGCCAAAGCCAAAGCCAACAGCAGCAGCAGCAGCAAAACGAGTTGTGCTCGCTGTTTGTTTGCCTTTTGCTGCTTGGTAGAGACAAAGCGCAGAATTCTCGGCTCGAGCTGGCTTAAAAGTTGACTAGTTTTGCACTTAAATGGAGCCCGACATCAGCAGCGAGGGACGCAGTGGGCAGCGGGCGGCAGCAAGTCCATAGACACAGCTGTGCCGACTTATATAACTTGACCAGGCTGACAATGTAATGTGTTTCGTGGAACGAAAGTGAAGTTTATCTATGAGATACGTGTAATTTGTTAAGTACCCGCAGCAAGGAGACGACGAGGATTGATCATGCGCTACTACAACTGGGTTGGCTCTCTCTCTCTCTCTCTCTCTTTCTCGCTCTGTCTCTGTCTCTGTCTCTGTCCCTCTCTCTTTCTCTGGAGATTGGCTACGCTTACTCAGTGGCTTAGAAATGAGCATGTGGTCAGCTAATGAGCTATAATGCAAATTGCATTCCAACATTGCATATGGGTCTTTTGTTTACAAAGACTTCATTACGACGATTGCAGGTGAAATTTTGTGTTTTCATTTCGCTCGTGTTGAGGATTAATTCGTGCGTTAAGTTGAATGCACATTGCCAACACGAAGCTCAATTTTCTTTTTCAGTTTCTAATTGGCGTTAAATTAGCCACAGCTTGACGCGCACATTGACATGGGAAAGCCCTGCACAATGCAGCGATCCGCATACGATGCTTTTAGGGCAAATGTAATCTCGCCAGGTGATACGTGATGGACAGCGATCTGTGAGCTTGCACAGGTCAATTATTTCCTGAAGGTTTCATATTGCTCAATCTGTATTCAATTCAACTCGAGATAGCATCATTTCAGATCTGTGATCTGTAGCTGAAGGACGTTTTCGGATTGCAAAATGGAATCCAACTAGAATAAAAGCTAAAACTAAAGCGTAAACTGGGGGAAAAAACGAAACATACGTTAAACTTGGTGTTGTTAATTTATCTTTGACCGAGTTATGACGACGTTGAGGAATGCGCTGTATGTGTTGTTGCTGTTGTTGTTGATGTTGTTGCTGCTGTGTTTTATGTCTATGTTGTTGCAGTAGAAGAAAATGATGTATATTGCTATAGAGATGCTGATTTGTAGCTGCAGCTGCTGCTGTCGTCGTTGTTGTTGTTGCTGTTGGCGCTCCAATTGAAAAGGACATGGAACTGGTAAGTCTAGACGGAACAGTGGAACAATTGGAAGTAGAAGCCGGGCCGGAGTTGGAAGTGATCGGAGGCGGGGACTGCGGCTGTGGCTGTTGCTGGGACTGGGACTGGGGCAAAGGTACGCACTTGCGTAAAGTGGAAAATATAGCACTGGAGGTGGACAGAGTGGAGGGGACAGAGGCAGCAGCTGGACTAGTTGTCGAGACAGAGCTTGTGGCTGTTGTGCATAATGATGATGATGATGATGATGATGTTGATGTTGATGATGATAATGAAGCATCGACATGTCTGCTACCTACGCCCTTGGATGTTACGTACAAGGACTGGTCATTGAGTTGCGATTGTGTCCAGGTGGGCGCGTCATAGATGGCTGTGCTCGTAGGCGTGGCATGCGCCATGGGCAACTGCAGCACCAGTTGCTCATGCTCATGATAGGCGGTTGCAATGCGCTGCTGCTGCTGCTGCTGTTGCTGGTGCTGGTAATGGTGGTACATGGGATGGCGATAATCCAGCAAATCCAATTCCTGCAGCTCCTCAATGCTGTAGTATTCGCCCACAGTAGCCGGCAGTGCGCGACCCTTGGGCGCTGCCTTGCTGCACAGACTCTGCGAGCGCTTGATCATCAGCAGCTGTGAGTCCGGCTGCTGTTGTTCCTGATTTGCCTGGAACTCGCACATGGCGAGCATCGCATTGGCGGGCTGATGATAGGCCAGTATGGGCCCAGCCGCGACAACGCTTGCATTGGACTTCTTATTGCTGGTGAACGAGGTTTTGGCATAGAGTTTCTTCATGGCCATTAGCTAATAGCAAACATTTGCAGAGGCGGCCACACACACACACACACACACACACGGGCGCGCACACAACACGCTAAAAAGCGATCCCACACACAAGTGTTCGGTCACACGATCACAGCACTAAATAAGTAAATGGAATTTATGTTTGTCTAGGGTCGCTTGGCTCAGAAAAACTCTCGTGTATGCAGCTGCGGCAACTGCTACTTGCGGCTGATCGAAATCGAACCTCAATTCAGACTGAACGCGCCAAACGAGTCTCGCTCGAGACTTGGACCCACCGAGAGAAAAAGATCGACAGAGAGAGAGAGAGAAGAGAAGAGAAGAGAGGGAGAGCGCGCGGAGTCTTGTGAACCACTCACAGACCGACTCGACTCGACTTGACTCGAGCGGTGTGTGTCAAAGACAATGAAGTAACAGCAAACAAGAGTGCAAAGTTGTGAGTGCACGACTAGCAGATGCCCTTTAAAAAAATAGCTATTGAAATGTGCCAAATATGATCAACTAACTGAAGTTGTAATATGTTAATTCAGTTGACTTTGTGAAAAGTGAAGTTTGATATTGATCGACTTGAAAATTGATACAATTTAGGTATATACACAATATATACACACTCTATATACCTTTCAGTATCAACCACACCTACTTCAGTCACTCATATAAACATGATCATCATATACCCTGTTCACTTTCGATGGGTATCAAAGAGAGCGAGAGCAAGCCGAACGAGCCGATCTTCCGGCGTTCTTTTACTTGCGAGTGTCTGCAGTTTCGAATTGGGCTAAAAGCTAAATAATTACACTTCAAGGCAATAAAATAATGAGATGTGTGCTACGAAGAAGACCCGGTCGAGACCTCAACAGCGTTTAGTCTGCCTCAACAGAACTGAATTATTCGGTTTCCCACTTGACGTCGCAATTAAAAACGCGCTCGCAACGCAGCTTAGACTCAGCTCAGCCCGGCTCAGCTGTAGACAGCAGAACCCTTCACAGGCCATGTTCACGTTCCTCAATTGTCCATTCTGTCAGTCGCTCACTCCTGCACTGCTGTGCGATAATTACTTAAGAAACGAGCTCAATAATTTATATTTCCCCCCGGCACTGCGTCTATTAAGTGTGTTTTCTCTCTCTCTCTCTATATATATATTTCTCTCTCTCTCTTTTAGTTATTTTTCAAGCAAGTGAGGGCAGGAGGGGCAGGCATAGACATAGAGCTTGTGGCATGCCATGAAAAATTCATATAACTACATATACGTAAGTCTAAGTCTGTTTAGTTGAGCTGAGCTGTGAGCTGACTGAATCAGTTTGAATTCTTTTTTTTTCTACTATAATTCTTAAGCGTACATTTCCAATTAACATGGTATTTGTCTATTGAGAATATTGTTGCTGTTTGCTGTTTGCTGTTACAGCTCGTTATAAAGCGCGCGTCTGGCCTTTAATGCTGTCTGATTTGAGCGGCGATTATTGTGCGGCTTTAATGGCTTTGTAAGAACGGGCTACGATTCGAGTTGAACTCTCTATAGATCATGCCGTGGCTTAAATGATTTGGCAATTTTTTTAGCTACATTTTGGCTCGATCACTCACGGACAGCAACAAATTGAGAAAGCTTACGAAACGTTCTGTATGGAATCATGGAAGAACTTTTCACACACAGTGGCTCAGTCACATAGATACGAAATATTGATTTCGATAAGGTTCACATAGACATATGATTCAGCAGTGCGAGTCAGAATGCAGCCAGCCCAAACTCTTCACCTTTTAACATTACTCAGATATTAGATTAATGCATTTCAATTAGACTGAACGATCTTCGAGCGCACTTCAAATCAATTAAACTATTAAAATAGGCCCTCAAAGTGTGGAGCGAGTGAGTCAGAGATGCAGATCATGTGTAGCCTACTTTGAGGCATATATACCTCACTAGCTGAAACTTCAAGTGCAGCAGCTCCAAGTGCGGCGCGTCTGCTACAGTGGCCGGACAAATGTTACCCATTGAGCTTCGCAAGCTAAACTGGGCCAAACTGGAGTCGAGCTGGGCCAGAACATTTGGCTTTTCAGCTTTAAAGCGTGCCGAATTCCCTCGGAGACAATGCGGCAACGGCGAGTTTTCTATATGTATGTTATGTGATGACACACCCAGAAAATTAACACCGAAAACTGACTGCGTTTTGTGCTTATGAATCAGTTATCCGTCAGTCGCTCGGACCGACCGACCGGGCACAAAAGCCCTGACTAAGCAAACTTTGGCGACTTGTCAGGAAGCGGACGGATAGGCCACTCCCCGTTGAAGTAAAATGTCAAACAAACCAAACAAATTATGGGCATTAAACAAGAGAGAAGTCGCGCCGAGGCCTCTGAAGGGCTGGGCTATACATAAATTCTGCTGATGACCCATAAATGCTCCATTTTCCACTATTTTTGGCTGTACAGGTGTTCCGCAGAGCGAAAGTAGACGACAAACGGAACGTCGATGTGCACATCAATTGAAGGACGGACCGGCCAAGCAGCATCTATTGATTGTCAATTGAGTTAACCGAAAGCAATTTGAATAAGAGTCAGAGTCAAGCGTCATAATTGAAATGTCCTTCAATCAAATCGAAAACAAAAAACTCAACTCTTGATGAATTACAGCAACTTAGCGACAGTGTAACATATCAGAATATATTCACTGTACAATATATATGTGGGTATGTATTCATGTAAAGTCAGACTTGAAATTCAATTTGCCACTTACGTCATTTCGTTCTGGTTTGTTGTTGTTGCTGTCGCTTAAGGGCGAAAAGCTGTTTGTGTAATATTTTGAAGTAAGGAGAGAGGTTTCCGTTGAATTTCCCTTGCTTTCCTCCGGGAACGTGTTGCGCCGTCTCCAATATGTTACGTTGTTAATTATAATAATGAGATCTGCAAGTGAAGTGTATAGAAAAAAAACAAAATTCCAGTTAGAATTATTAGTTATACAGGAAGCTGACCCACATAGATTAAGTAAGTTATATATAGCTGTTGGTGAATCAATGAAAAGAGACCTTGACTGTAAAGCTAACCGAATCAACTTACTAAAAAAAAAACTAGTGAAAACAGCTGCTGAATGAATGATTGAAAACCAGAAACAATACAAAAACAGAAACCTCAAACCATATCAAAAATTCTATATATATATATATTAGCATCGATAAACAATGAAGCTTCTCTTTCGTGGCCTATTTACTTTTTCTTTCGTTCGGCCCCTTCCATATCTTTTGTGACATGAACTCTGCGGAAAGCTAAGCCCATTTACATAATAAATGTAGAACTAAGAACTAAGTAGACAGAGCTGTGCGAAATTTGTGTCACGCTGCTTAAAAAGATTTTTGACCTACTTTTCGGCCATGTCTCTGCGCCCCCTCTCTAATTGTCTATGGAGCATGGAGCATGAAGCATCACTTGCTCTGGCTAAAAATCTGCCCTTTGGTTACTACAACGTGCGTTTTGTTTCCGTTGAATTCATTCAGAATAATCAGCACAGTGACCACATTCGCGAAAATCATTATTCAACTACAGTGGAAACACTTGACGAACTCCCACATTCATTCGCCTTTTTTATAGTTGACAGGAAAGTGGAGCATATTTGCGCATGACTTCAAATGCAGCTAGCTCTTTCGATGAAGACGTTCGTTGTACGTTAAAGAAGTCTTCACTGTGTGACTAACCCCAACTGTCAGCTCTTATTGATTTGTTTTGAAATTCTTTGCGCTTTATCCTTTAATCAATTTCTGTGTAATAAAAATGTGACGACGTTGGATTTATCATGAGAATTTTAACTGAAATTCGACAATTGTCATAGGAATGAAACTCAATGCGAGGCACCAGGCAGTCATCGTTCCATTGTTAGCTCTTTGCTTAGTCAAATATTGAACGATTCATGTGAATAGGTTTTAGTTAGATTACGAATTGCAGCAACTAAGACCAATACCCAAATTGACAGGATAAATGTTTCACCAGTTAATTTTCACAAATGAATAATTCTTGGTGTTGGCTAAACAAACAATTCGCACAAAGCCATTGAAGAGCTCGTTAAGGCACATGTGCTGCTTCCCGGTATCCTCCCTTCGCCTGGTGGGCAATTAAAAAGTTCAATTTCGTGAAATATACACTCAAGAGGGTTTCCACCAAACACCCCTTGAAGCCGGTCGTTGTCATTTCCCGTACCCTGGTTAAGTTGCTTCACACTTTGCACTTCCCTTCTGGGGGTGGGATGGCAGACAGACAGACAGACAGACAATACAGACTGCATTCGCATTTAACCTGAAAGCAATGAATAGACGCCGCAAGGGTCAGCCATTTCTTATACCCTGCACTCAAATCAAGGCGGGTATAAGACTTTAAACTCTAGCTGGGGAATTTAAGTGCATGTAAGACACTCATCTATAGTTGGGTAAACACTCATCTTTAACTGGGTAGATATTCATCTTTAATGGCATATAAGGCGCTCATCTCTGCGCTGCTCTCTAATCAGTTACAAAACATCTACCGCTCATCCGGCGTATATAAGACACTCATCTCTAATCGGATCTCTAGTCGAGTACAAACAACCTTCACTGCTCACTAATCAGGTATAAGACACTCATCTCTAGCACAGTATAAGACTTTAAACTCTAGCTCTACACTCATCTCTAGCTGGGGCAGACACGCTCATCTCTAATCTGACGTAAGTCACTCATCTCTAGCCGCATATAAACACTCTACACTGCTCTCCAACCAGGTATAAGACATCCATCGCACGTATAAGACTAAGCTTTACCAGTGAATATATGCAACTGGATCATCTCTAGCTAGTTACACACTCATCTCTAATCGGGTATAAAACACTCATCGCCTGACGGGTTTAGACACGTTTTTGTCATTCATGCGAAAAGCAAATTTCCAGGAATTTTCATGACTACTACGTGGCGTTTATACAAGAATGATGTCACAATTTTAACCCCATATTCCGATTCCAACTTCAGTTCCCATTTTACGCTTTCGCAAAGGACAACAAAATGTTTGCATACAACAAGAAAAACAAAAACAAATTGTTTGGTCGCATATTGCACATGGAAATTTCCGCCCCATTTTCGTTTGGCTGTGGTTGTTCGCGTGACTTGGTTGGATTTGTAATTCAGCAGGTTCAAAACAAACATCGAATCAACGTAACTTACTAAAGAGCATAATCCCTGCTTTCCAGCAGACAGCGAATCGCCTCTAAACAAATCCCACTTAAATTTCTTGTTTGTCGCCGCCATCCATTTATCTTTTTAGCACTCGTTTTGGCCAAGGCGACTGTGTCGCAGTTGCCATGGTCGGCTAGATTCCTAAACGGGTTTTTTAAGCTAGCGCATGCGGACCCTTTTGTCTTTCACTCTGTCTCTGTCTGACTTTGGCTCACTCGCTTTTGAGCTGGCCAAAATTGTGCTTTAATTTGAATTGCGACTGAATTTGGGTCGCAACTTCAAAGTCGCCGTCAGGGCTTCAACTTTAACTTCGACGCGGTATTTGAATTGTAAGTGCCATAGCTGCTTGCTACAGAACCGCTAATTGAACCCGTGCTGCCAATTTAACCTTTTCCGGAAGGTTTCTGTCGCCTTTTTATAGCTCAGCGTGATTAACAATTGGATGAACTTTGTAACAAAGGCCACAGATGTGCTTATGCTTGTTTATAAAGCCGGGTTTGTGTGAGGTCTGGCTAAATGCCAGTGAAGCTGTCGATCTGTGCTGTTTTTCTTGTCGAATGACCCAAAACAATTAGGCGAATCATTCAGGAACTCTAAAACACACTCCCAGGCGTATCAAAATATTGAAATCGTCAGCCAAGCGTCAAGACTTTTTGCATTTTACCATGACTGGGGCTGGGGCTGTGGCTGAGGCTGAGGTTGGGTTGGGGCTTCTCAGCTGCCAATATAAACAATGTTTTGCATCTATAAGCAATTAATTTGTAATCACATCTTCACTTTCAGCCTGAACTTTGCCTGCTTTTGTTTCTTTTTCGACTGTGGCTGAAGTTGACCCCAACCACGCATATGAATTTTCTGTGGCACGCTCCATTTCGTGCCCGATCTCTGGCCAGTCTGTGATTTATGTGTGTGTGTACACATTTATTATTAAACTACATGTTCAACATGTTGCAGTTGTTGTTTTGCTTCACTGGCGGACAGCGCGTCAATTAAATGAAGCGGGGGCAAATGTTTTGAGAGTCGCAGCAACTCGAACCGAAACTCTTCGATAATTATTGAATAATACTTTCCACGCACGCACACACATACGATACGCAGTCTTCACTCACGAATGCAGATACAACAAAAATTTCAATAACAAAAAATGAAACGAATTAGGGCGCAACAATAGACCTAAAAGATCTATTATTACATTACACACACGACAATGGGGCTCAACGACGACAACAACAACAACAACAACAACTTCCCGTAGCATAACTATCGCCTCTAAGCTTGTCCATGGAGTTAAACTAAGAAGCGGACATAAAACTATCTCAATCATAACATAATCAGCTCGCTCAAGGAGAGACGGGTGTTAGGAAAGCAGAAAAGTGCTCAGCAGCGACAAACATCAATTTAGCGCGAAATAACTTAAGGCGAAGCGACCCAGATTGAAAGTTTAAAGTTAGTTTAGAGTTAACTTAGGTTCAAGCGAATTGATTTCGAAATATCGTAAATAGTTAGTGAAATTCCACGGAATGCAGATTGATTTAATATTATTAAAATATTGAAAAAACGTACCAGAGTTATATTAAGCCAGTTGATTTAGTGCAAGAGCAGTAGGGTCACACTGGCAAGCAAAGCGGAAATGTTAATTCGATTTTGCGGGACAGACAAATGTTGAATGCATCGATCTGCATGCTGGCTGCTATGACACGCAATCATAATCGAAAAAGAGTGTGATATTCGCAGCAAAGCGGAAATGTTTAAAAACTGATAAAAAGTAATCTTAATAGTGTGAGTCAAATATTGATATGTTGTGTCATGAGTCAAAATTGATATATTTTGTCGCAAAACAAACGATGCGTGTGCAAAATACCTCATGCACTCAATCCATATTGCAGGGTATACACCCATTCGTATTCGGCCTTAGTCAGGCAACCTGCAAGCAATTTGCTGATGTTCGTCTCAAGTATTGGGTAGGAAATCGCTCCCAAAAGTCCCGGCACTTAGCCAACGTTTCTGCAAAGAGTCGACAACTTAGTTGTGCTTGTGTGTGTGTGAGTGTGTCAGGGGCTAAATTACAGCCGAGTATTTGTATGCAATCAAAACAAGATGAAAACTTCAACGTCAGCTTTTAGCAAGTAAAAATAAAACGAAACCCGTTGGATGGCTGTGAAAATTCAGACTACAGCCCCAGTCCCAGCCCCAGCCCCAGCACCAGCCCCAGCGGAAGCACTTCAAGTGCTTGCAATTCCTCTTTGTAGCGCAATGCGAACTGAAGAACTTTAAATGGAGATCAAGGGACCCAAAGGGGAATGGATTATGTGAATCAGGCAGATATTGACTTCATATCAGTCTCCGTCAATTTTTTTTTTACAATTTCTGTCCACTCTAAAGATTTATATTTAATCAGCATATGGGGCACTTCCCGCTCTGACAAATGAACGGGAGGAAAACAATATGTCGTCTGTGGATATATTAAAGATTTAGAAAGGAACTATACTATATGCTGCCACAGTTATATGTCATCGACTATATAAGAGTTTGCAAGTGCGAGCACTGACCAGGAGTGCGATGCAGACACGCTGCTCACATTTCGAATGTTTATACTTTCTTTTAAGCCAGTTACACAATCATCTGGCCATGTTTATTCATTACTTAATAAATATTTCATTAATCAATTACATATGCCAGATTCTGGGCATGAAGAGTTTGAAATTAGCCGCTAACATAAAAATATTTCGATTTAATTAAACCGAATCTGGCAGCAAATTACACGGCCATATCTGAATGCTTTATATATATATATATAGAGCTGTGCTTTACCAAGCGTTAGACCGAAAAGTTACTGAAAAGGAACCAGAAGGCGGTCGGCACGTAGAATCAAGCTGTATGATAAAGCCCGTTTGTTGTGGTAAAATTTTTAGGCCGTAAAAAACGTTGGTTTGCTTTTAAATGCAACTCATTGTGAACAAAAGATTTGTGTTGTGCAAAAATAGAAATATTAAGAGTATATATTTTAGACAATAATCTCTTGAATTGAAAATATTTATTAAATATTTATATTAATAAAAAGAAACTTTCGTTCTTCCAATATTCTAAGTCGATTTCACTGTACTGACATTTCAGTCATAAATATTTACCCATTTATTTAGAATTCTAAGCATTTAAGAATGCTACTTTTTAAATGTTACTCGAGAATTTTGCTAAGTGTACTGCACATTGCTTTTATTTTTAACTCAAATTTCACGGCATACGGTTTGCAGTGTTTAGGATTGTGAATGATGATTTTCTTGATATATATATATATAGTGTATGTGTGTGCGTGCTGTGTTTGTCCGTACTTGAGCCATTGCGATGGCCTCCAATGCATAGCCAAGACAATGGAACGAAACGCCTGAAAAGCTGCCACTTAAGCGAATTTCGTTCTCCGTTCTGCTTATCTGTGCAGTTCGTTCATATATTTGTATCTACAATTTATGCCATATGAGCGGTACATATTTATCACGCATATGAATATATTATATATATATATATATACAGTCAGACTCTATAGACTCTGTAGACTCTCTAGACTCATCGGTATTCATGTGCACAGTGCATAATCTACGCTGCTTTCCTTCTCTCTTCTGTGGTTAATGCGCACTAAAAAAGGCAAACAGTTTTTCCTCAATACTTTAGGCCACACAATTTGCGCTTGATATGGATGTGGCTGGAGCTATTGCTTTGTTCGTCAACTTGAAACGGGAATATATTATTAGCCTATCGAAATATATGAAGCTAACATTCCATGTCGATAGCTGATATCAAACCCGTTTGAAATACGATCGTGAGGAGAAGTCATTTCCTCACTTTGTTCAATTAAACAAAGAAATTTAACAAAAATCCAAATAATAAATAAAATCATAAAGAAATTATTTAGCTAAAAGCGATTATATGGCTACGCGCTGTAATGAAACTCAAAACACGTTCCATGCATCCGATGAGCAAAGGCGAAGGCAGGCAAAAGACTTATGGAGGCCTATGAATTATGCAGGTGACGTTAGGCGCACCATAAAATTGACAATAAATATATATATTCTATATATATTGTAAGTAAGTGCAATTGCTCTTTTTCTGGTTGTTTAATAAAGTGCTTCGACTGGAATCTAGACGTAACTGACCACCCAGCATCATTTTACAGATGGATAAGACTGTCTATAGAAGGTTATGGGTTTTATTTTGGTTTACCCGCATTGTCAAAGAGCACAGATGCACACAAAATAACATGGAATGTAGTTTTATTGGATGCTGCGTAGGAGGAGGAAGAGGAGGAGGGGGGTCACACTGGCGGCCAGCAAAGCGGAAATGTTAATTAGATTTGTGCGACACAGGCCGAGTTCAATGCATTGATCTGCAGCACTGGCTGGTTGCTATGACACGCATTAAAGTTTAGTCACAACCAAGCGAAGCAAGTTTATGATTCAGTGCAGTCGTCGTCGTCGACGCTACGAACGCATAAACAAAACGTAAACAAGAGCGGAGGTAAACCACAATGTGAATATACGAATACTTGGAAAATTTTGTAGCAATTTCTTGAATTTTGATTTTTTTTCCTATTCAAAGTTTTAGTCATCGTTAAAATATCCAAAAAAGAAAAATAAGAAGCGAACTGAACGTAAACACAACTACTACGCACGCAGATAGGGAGAAAAGATACCAAAGGGGGACTGATAAAAACAAGAAGTTCGTATACACATATACACATACACGCACACACATACATAAGTATTTCAGTTTTATTTCTTATCTTATCTATTGGTGGCGCGACCCCAATTGCAGCTGCTGCTTCTGCTGCTGACTAGGTATGAAAACTAAGCTTACTTAAATTTTTGTAGAAATTGAATACTTTTTTCTATCACAAAGAATTATTAAAAAATATGAAAATAGTAGCAGGATCTGCTATGCAACACTGGCAATCACTGCAACAACAAAAAAACATAATAGTCATCAAAGGAGTAGCAACAGCAGCTATGCAACACTGGCATTCACAGTTATAAAACAAGGGCAATTGAAACGCAAAATAAATTCAAATTTGCAAACTTTAATAGTAAAAATTGTACTTTGATTTAGTTTGCTTTTGCTATTGTTTTGAAACTGGTTTTGGATTGGGCTTTGGGTTGTTTTTTTTTATTTGTAGTCCAGCAATATGTGTGTATGTATGTGAGATTACTGCGGGTCTTTGGCCCGCTTCATTTGGCAGGGAACGAACAGAAAATAAAAAAGTGAGTCATGTGGCGAGTTTAGTGATGCAACTTGGCTGTCATTTCGTGGGTGGCAAAGGAGCGAAGGGGCAGCCCGGATCGGGCCGCTGCGGTGCATTGACATTTAAATAGTTGCAAAGAGAAGAAACCAAAGCCAACTTTGGCTGGCATAAATTAAAGTTCAAACAAACAAGATAAAGATGAAAGAGAAGTGGAAATATCAATAGCCCCACCCGCGTCGCTTCGCTCTCTTTATCAGTCTCTCTCGCCTTTTTCACTCTCTCTCTCTCCCTCTCCCTCGCTCTTAAATTGGCAACGCTGGATTTTGTTTGTTTGGCAACATTCAAAAGGAGTTGGAGAGCTCAATACGACAGAGAGCGAGCGAGAGGGAGAGAATGAGAGCCTGCGCCCAGCAACACACAAAAACAAGCCTCCAAACTGAGAACAACCAAAGAGAAAGAGAAGGAGCTGGTCAACACGGTGGAGCAGTCGAGGGGAAATGCATTAAAAACAATTAAAGCTAGCACACAGGACACAGCTGTCACACACGTTCACACACACACTTATATATATGCTAAATGAGAGCAAAAACTGGTTTAGAATCTACAGACGCGACAGCTGTTAAAGTCTTCATGTGACCGATGAGTTTAGGTAGATAAAAGGCAGACTTGGGCGAATGCGAAATTTGTACACGAATTTTAATTATTTGCGCAAAGCATAAAGCATAATTATTCGCCAACTCACACACACACACATACGAAGAGGCATGCGAAAAAGGGCGTGTTGTGTAAAAGAAGAAGAGGCTAAAAGGGGAGCAGAAATGAAGCAGCAGCAGCAGCTATCGTCGGCGCTGCCACAGCAGCCGCCGCACTAAAAAGGGAGCAAAAAGCGGAAGTCGTGGGCAAAAACATGCGCAGAAAATGCAACGGCCGCCGACTGGGCCAACTCGAAGTCAGAGATTCCTCTCTAAATCTCTGCAGACGCAAATTATAAATAAATGAAGAAAAGCAAAAAAGAAAAATAACAAAAACAAAAAAAAAATAACTTACCACAACATTTTCCTTAACACCAGAGTGAAAATGCGTTGGTGTTGGTGTCTGCTGCCTGGCAGCTACTCCCTTTTCCTGCTGCTGCTGCAGCAAGCGGCAATGACGCACACACACACACACTCAAATCGAGCGGCGGCGGTCGAAGACAGCACAGCGAATCGCCTATAAAAGTGTTTGTATTATATACTTTTCCTGGTTTCTTCAGCGTTTTCTTTCTTACTTTTTTTACGACAGAAAAGAAGCCGCTGTTTTAATTCAATTTATTTAGTTTTCGGCAGCACTCTACTTGAACAGCACTTACACAAACAAACACACATACGCACAAACATGAACGAAGAGCGAACAACTAAACTCCTTTTCAAGGAGTAGACACAATTTTTTTTCGGCTACTTCGTTTTCAACTGCAACTCCGTTTTTTCGTTGCAGCTTTAAAAGGAACTTTACACTTGTGTTTTGCACAGATTAATAGTGCTTTTGTTCGCTTTCTTGCGACTGCGATTTTATTTATTTTTTGTTTCGTTCGACGCGATTAATGCGAATTAATTTTGGCCAAATTGCGACAGCGACAACAACACACCAGCGCCATATTTGATCTGATGTAAAAATAATATACCAGGGCAGCCCTGGTCTAACAGTTAGCTTAACAGTGAGAATGTTATTTACATTTTCTATAATGTCTTAACAGTGAGTTACCGATTAAAGTACTGTAACTAGTTTAAGCAAATCTGATATAAGAATTTTTAGTGAGTATAAAAGTATAAATATATGTTATTGAAAATTATTTAAATCGCAACATAATTATCAGACTAGCTTAAAATAAATATTCGTGTTTAACAGCTGCTAACTGACTCCAAATAACAGATCGATTTTTTGAAATAGAGCCGCAACGGGCTATTCTATTGATTTTTCTGTTATGCTAAATTTCGATAAATTGCAGAGAAAAAAGAGTGCACACACTGAAGCCAATCGCGGAAAACTCGAATGAATAGCATTTTAATTTTTTTTTCTAAATTTGAACTTGTGCCTCTTATCGATAGCTTGTGTCAATCAAATCGAAAATAGAGACGACACACCAGTTTCCACCGCGACTAATTTCAATAAATAAAAGTTCATTGTTTGTGTATCCTATATATGACTATTTTAATTTGTATGCACCGTGCGATTAATTTTGTAACATTGCGGCGGTATAAAACTAAATTAAAATACTCTGTTATTTGTTAATAAATAAATTAAGACTTGATCCGATTCGTCTAATAGATCGTATTACGATAGCCCTCTATAAAGCTTTCCACAAGTCCTGACATCTCTGGAGCCCGACACAAATACTTATGGCCGTATCCATGACTTCGATCAAAACGATGGAATTCCACTGGTCCCCAGGAGCGACTACGCGTATCCAGTCCGGTTCGATAGAGCTGGTAGCCTAAGTGGAAAGGTACAACCACATCATCCTCGGCATGCATAATCATAACTGGCTGAGGAAATTTACTAATATGTTTGTCCGACTCGAACCTTAGTCGGTTGTCATACATAGGCTGCGAGACCATATAGTCAAACCAGGGCAAGTGTCGGAACGGTCGGGAGAACGGATGCAGACGAATCTCGTCACGAATGTTGGTGAACGGACTCTCAAGGATAACGCCATGAGGTCCACGCTCCTTCATGCTGGCCAGTTTGGCACACATGTGCGTGGCCACACCCGTGCCTAAGGAATGGCCCCAGATGTAAATGGGGTTCGTCGTCAAATTGGCAATGTACTCGAAGACCATCATGGCATCACGCACCACCCCATCCTCTGACGGCGGCACAGGATCCGAGTCGGCATAGCCACGATAATCGAACGAGAAAACATGATAGTTCAGATGCCGCAAGAGCTTGTATACCTCGGAGCGATGACCACTGCCTCTAGTGGCTGTATTGCCATGCAGATAGAGAACTACGGTGCCGCCTGGCATTCGGAGTAACCGCTCGTAAAAGAGCTGCTCATTCTCTGGCACTATTACAGGGAATTCAGCTCGCAGCGCCGGCGCCAACCGTTCCAGCTCCCGGTTGTTGTCGTTCCCGTGAATAGGCCCGGATAGTTCGTTATTGACAATTGCCGACTCCACATCTGCTGCCACATTGAGCTCTCTTCTAAAACGACGAGCTGCATTCTTGGGCAGCACATGCCAGACGCCAATGCGTACGCCGTCCTCGTCCTCATCATGATTCTTGACAGTGATGTAAAAGTTGCGTGTGGCATAAAGTCCAATGCTCTCCGGTTTGGTAAGGTCGAGTCCTTTCGGATAGGTGACTGCAAAGGAAAACTTTTAGGACTCATCGCTGCCAAGAAGCTCAACACTTACTGAACGTGAGGAACAGAATGCCGCGTTGCAGCGTCACAGATGTACGAAAGGCAAACGGCAGCAGCACAAAGAAGAGGAGGAACAGCAGCAAAGCTATCACCAGGCAGGGCAGGCCAACTCTGGGGAGGGAGCACATGGTTTTCGTTGTTATTAAATATCAAACGGAATCATTACATAGGATACTAATAACATAAACATATAGATAACCAAATACTACACACAAAATGAAATTTCATTGAATACATATATAAAAAATGTAAATTTGATTCAGCTGAACATTTGTAGCTTGTCAAGTTATTCTAGTGAATCACAGCTGAAGTGAAGCATAGCACTGGGAATGCTATGGGTGATATGCTAAATATTTATGCCACGATGCAAAATTTATGCAGAAAACGAAGGGAAAAATCAAAAATCGAACAAATCATAATTATAAATGGCATATTTAGGGTGTCAGAGCAGGCAAATTTCATAGTTTACATTACTTGAATTAGAAATGAACATCAATTTGAATTTGTTTATTGCTTTTGTTTTTAAAGGGATCGCTGCGATCGAGCATAAATACTTACAGCCCAGTCAGCCAACTAATGAGAATCGTTCCGGGAATGATCGTTGCATAGAAAACTAAATTTAAACAACTATGAAGCTCGTACATTGTGACGCTTATCGATTGTCCCTTCGATTACAGCTAATTGTAATTGTTTGTGATCAACTATATATCGTTCTTGAGCGTTCGAGCCTTTGGTTAATTTTTAGCGAGAACGTTATTAAATTTATGGGCTTGGTTTTTAGTTTGGTTTTCTTGTTTTTTTTTGTGCAAAATACTTTTTCTTTTCTTTTATTCTGAGTGATATTCACGGATTTTGTTTCGGTTTTTTTTTATGTTTTACAAACGTACTAAGCGTCTAGCCGAACATAGGGAAGAGAATAAACAAAGTTACTTGATTATTAGCTTAATATACATACAGATGGAATAGATTAAAGCATGCAAAAGCCCAAAATCTAAGCATTCAACTGTGAAATGACCCAAGCCCAAAAAAACTAGCAAACAAACAAATTAACTAACAGAAATAAAAAATCTCTGACAAGTGAACTGTGAAAAAACTTTGTACTCGGTTGCTGATAAGGCGGAAGGCGGCATTATCTGTGGACTATTACGTGATATATCGTATATCGATGAATAATGACACAGATAACGAATCGAGTGCTGACCGACCGACCGACCGACCGACTTACCACAATCAGCGACAGATTACGCATAAAACATATGTATATATAAATAGGTTTATAAACTTAAAAGAATTATGATTCAAGCAGCCTTAAAGAAGCGACTATATTATATGGTTAATTACGCGTTAGTTGTACAAAAAACACTAGAATTCACCTCTTGAAGAAATGCCGCCTACGCGCAAAGAGCATAACTGCAAATAGTCAAACGACAAGAGGAAGAAAGAGAAACAAAACATTTAGTTAGACATTTTTGAAATAACAAACACGGGCAGCAAGCGTTTAATGAATAATGAGGGTGTGTAGAGTGGAGTGCGGAGAGTGGAGAGAATGAATGATGCAAACAAAAACGTTGTAAAGCAATTGCAACGTTAACAGAATAATGAACAGTTTTACTATTGCTCAGCTAGTTTATTAATTATTTTAACTGATGCACAAACAATTTTTGATGTAGCAAAAAATGGAAAGAAGAAAACCCGTTGCGGCCCGCGCGTTCGATTTACGACTGACTGGGCACTGCAAAGCCAAACAAATGAAAAGCTTTGATTGAGCGAGACGGTGATCTCTGCCACTCCCTTTCCCACTCTCACACTTTCTCGCCGGCCAGCTGATCGCGTGTGCCTTCTGTTAACTTTTGCACTGGCGTTTTTTTCTTTCTGAACTTGAATTGAATGTGAATAGTAAATATTGTATGCACTTGTTGCTTAATGCTTCAATTAACACTAATTGAGTTGATCTCTTAATGTTTGTGTCACTTACCGGCTTCTTTCTCAGGCAGTTTAAGTGGCGAATGTACAAAGTATAAAAGTATCAGTTTAATCAGTATCAGCAATAAAAATATCTACAAATGTTTCTCGTCTAAGGCATAATTTATTATTGGTTCCGATCTGCAAAATTGCAAGAAATTTTTTTTGTTAGCAAAGATATAATAATGAACAATTTGCGTTTGGTTTGATTTCTATTACTTTATATAATTTATGCCAATAGCTAACACAAGTAAAAACAATCATTTGTTCAAACGAATTTGTAAATTATGGTAAATTTACCAAGTGACTTGTTAATAGAAGCCGCCTTGGCTTCACTTGTGCATTTCACAGTTCAAATATTTGGTAATTAAAAATTATTGGATTATTTTTTCTTTTTATTAAGAACAACGGCTGCCAGTGTGTGCACCCGACATGTGGAACAGCTGACAATATATTTTTCACAGATGCGTCAAATTTTTCCAATACTATTATTTTATCCTTGCAAACTATACGGTTTAATTTTGTATAGTCGTATTATTAGTTCGTTTCCCTTGCGTACAAATAAATTAAATTGACAGAATCTGTTTTCAACTGTATATGTCCCACCCTGTTCGGGTTTCGATTAATCTCGTTTATTCGATTAGTATTGTCAGCACTGTTAAAGACAGAACTGCAAATAGCAAATGGCAAATGTTAAGTTTTCGGCTACCGTAAATAAACAGTGAAAGTGCAATTAAGAACTAAATGAGCGACAATTAGCGAATCAGTTCGTACGACGTTCAGCAATTCGTTTGATCGAACTTATTCCGAGCAATTCGATACAATTCTAGTTAGCAATTTAGTTGAACGCAACGGCAGTGCCGCAACGAGAGAGAGAGAGAATGAAGAGTTTGGAAGAAGTTAAGTTAGAATATCCGCTGCATTGGCAGATCTGGAATGGCAACGCTGAGGAGCTGCAACAGCAGTTGCAGACCGAACAGGTTTGTCATCGGTTGGGTGATTGATTGGGTTGAGAATGGGAGCAGGGACAGGTGGGTGTTAGTGTGGGTGACTATGAGTGTGTGTGTGCGCGGTACTGCTAATTGAATTAGTGATTCGGTTGCAACAACAACAATAACAATAGGAATGTTAATAACTCAACTTTCAGATTGATAAGGAAAAAATCGATCCGCGCGGCCGCACACCATTGATGTTGGCTGTCCGTCTGGCGAATCTGCAATGTGTTAAGTGCCTTTTAGCAGCTAAATGCAATGCAACTTATGAGCATGCAGGCTGGTCAAGTAAGTACCGTTACAATTCGTGTTTCTCTCCCTCTCCCTCTCACTGTGTATCCTATGTTCTTAGTTGTCCAGGAGGCCGTTTGTACGGGTGACGTGGACATATTGACAGCGATTATCGAAGTACGCGACTTACAGCGTCATGTGCAGCGAGTGACGCATGTTCCGAAGCTGTTGCAGCATCTACTGGATGCGCCCGACTTTTACATAGAAATGAAGTGGGAGTTTACGTCGTGGGTGCCGCTGATGTCTCGCCTCTGTCCAAGCGACACCTATAAGGTGTACAAACGGGGCGCTAACGTGCGCATCGACACAACCCTCTTGGGCTTCGACAACAACACCTGGCAACGTGGCAATCGATCCTACATATTCAAAGGCGGCAGTGAGTGCTAATGTTATCGTATAATTATATTACATACATATTTAACGCTATGTGCTTTCGTAGAGGAAACGGCAACGATGATCGAAATCGATCATGACACCCACGAGGTGATGGTGGAGCAGATGAGCAGCGATATCGGTGACATTGTGGCCATTCCACCACCAATTGGCACCGTTCGTGCTCGCCTTGCGGCTCCCGTCATCACCAACAACATCGAAATGGAAAAGATCAGTTTCGAGCGGAACAAATCAGGCATTTGGGGCTGGCGTAGCGAAAAGTCGGAGGTTATCAATGGCTATAATTGCAAAGTGTATGGCGCCAGCAACGTGGAGTTTGTCACAAAGACGCGAATGGATCATCTCAGCGAAGAGCAAATCAAGGTAACAATGAAAGAAGTAAGTGTGCTCTAGTGTGGAGTGCCCAACTAAGAGATACTCTGAACTCCGTATCCAAGTAGACTATATATATATCGAAATTATATCTCCTTTCATACAGAATAAAACGGCGCGCACGCCACTTCACAGCTTATTGGGCATTGCCGATGAAGATTACGTGCCTCCAACGGATGTGCCAGCTGCAATCAAAGATCGCGTAAGTCACATAGACCAACGACAAAGAGATAGCAAATATTCATTTTTGAACTCCTTCGCAGACATCAGAGGCAGCTCCCTTGATCGCCCCCAGTGTGAATGGTGATCGTGCCTCACCCACAGTTACAGCTCATGCTGAGAGCAATGGTAGTTCCGCATGCTGTTCGGGTGCAAGCACACCCCACTCACTACAGGTCACGCCCGAGGAATACTTTAGTGCCGAGGTTGATCTGCAGGGTCGCGATGTAGGCAAACCAAAAAACTTAAGCACAAAGGTGCAACGCTTCAAGGCCAATCTCTGGCTGGCCGAAGAGCATCCCATCCGTCTCCAGGAACAAGTGCTTCCCATATTGGATCTCATGTCCACAATGGCCAGTCCGCATGTGTCCAAATTGAAAGACTTTATAACAATGCAACTGCCTTCTGGTTTTCCGGTCAAGGTAGAGATACCGCTCTTCCATGTCCTCAATGCCTGCATTACGTTTGGCAATGTGTTCGCTATGACCACGCCGGTGGAGTACGTGGCCACGCTACAGGAGGAGGATCGCACCACCTGCCTGGTGGACGATCGCTGCTTTGACATACCTAGTAATTATGTCAATCGTGACGGTGACTCGCGCCGTCAAATACCCCTTGATGAGGATGACATGCTGCAGTATGCCATCGAGCAGAGCTTGGCCGAGACGAGCGGCGCCGGCGGCGCCTGTGGCCTGGACAATGATACCGACAAGGTGGACATCTGGGAGGTGCTACGCGGTCAGAACGCTGTCGGCACCGAGCTGCTGCCCGAGGACGACGAGCAGCTGCAGCGGTAAGCGATTCTTAACCATCTTTTTCGATTTATGACAGTCTGATTTTAACGAGCGTTACGTAATGCTAGTAATGCCCGCTCCTGTTCAAATAAGCGCACCTTGCTCGCACCTAATCAACTCTACGGTCGCCACTCACCTTCACCTTTGCACAGTTCGCACCTGGCCCCGCCTGCTCCTACCTTAGAGCCGCAGCAGCGCAGTCGCTCTGCCTCGGCGGGCGCGCAGTTCAAAAATGATCTTAGCTATATGAAAAAGATCTTCAAATAGAATTCCCTTATTCCAGCCACATTCCACCTTCAACGTATTGCTAGCTATCATTTTACCCAAGCTTTTGTGTGTGTGTGTCTCCTCTGTTTGTATGTTCACAGCGTGCTGCACGAATCGCTGATGGGCGCACGGGGCAATGCGAGCGGTTCGCCCGTCTCCGAGGACGACGATGATGGTGGCTTCCGTTATATGGACTCCGATTTGGCCATGGCCATGCGTCTCTCCCAGCAGGATCAGCAGAAATACGAGCTGGAGCGGCAGCGCGAACAGGAGATGATCGAGCAGGCGCTAAAGCTTAGCCTGCAGGACAACTAGCCATCGAACCAATTAGTTAACCAAATCTAACCAAAATCAAACAATCAATCAATCAGCAGTTACAAGTCTGTCGTCAATCAAATGAGAGGGAAAGTCATTTTTGTCGATACCAAAATTGGAATAGTTTATATGTAATTCTAGTATGTAAAAATTATGCCTATGTTGTAAAGTCTAAAATGTAACCTTACCTTATTTTGTTGCGCTGTAGTTTTTGTTGGTTTTGCTCTCCTTATTTGTATTGTGATATATAACTAAACTAAACACAAAAAGAAAACGAAAACCTTCAAAAAAAAAAACAACAGAAATAATTTCCCTCATAAACGCTTTAAAGGTCTCAACTCGGAAACTCGCGCGTTTTAACGGCATCTCCATTATATACACACGCGTATATCACATTATATACCTATTAATTAATGTAATAGCTCTTGCTAAATATACATATATATATATATAAATTAAGAACAGAGAAGGTTTAATTAATCTAATCACTAATCACTAATCTTTTGTTGAACTTCGGTTGCCAGCAGAAAAGGTTTTCTAACATTCTCTTTTATTTATACATATTAAAACTATTCTATTAATTTACTAATCAGCATTATCTGAAATTATTTGTGAAAATTCAAATATATATATATATATATATATATATATATATATATATATATATATTATATACATATATAAAAAGTAAAGTCTATATAAATTATGGGTGCATTTACTCCAAATAAAAAGATTTTTGTTTTGGGATCTCTCGCCGGACGTGTGTCAATTGTTTATAAAATTATTTTTATGTTACTCAAATTGTACAATAACAAATTGGCTAAAAATAAGCAATTAAATCTAATACGATGCTATATACAAAGTCAAATGAACTTAACGTAATTAAGAAGTCTTCGAAAACTCTCTGGACAAATTCTGTTCGCTTCAAAAATTCTGTAATTATGGCAGCTATATAAACGTATTTACATATACCACTTCGATAATCTCACAATTTGGTCTAAGCTATCTTAGCCACAACTATATGCTTACTAGCTAAAGAAAAGAGTCTGTATAAGTACGTCCGTTGAATGATGATATGCGGCGTCTGAACTGAAACTAGATGTACTTAAAGCACTTCTGCTTATCGTGCGGAATACGCGTCTTGAAGAGTATGGAGTCAGCCCTATATTGGGTGTTCAGCAGCGGCGTATAGCCAAAGACTTGGCTAAAGAAATTGATGCATTTGTGCCGCTCCTGGAAGTGGGTGTCGTCCTCGCTAAGGGAGACCGGGCAGCCGGGACACCGGAAGGTCCAGCGTGAGGTGACTTTTACAGGCGGTCGACGCGTTAAATGGGATACAAGAAAATTCATAGCGATATCCTCACAATTCATATACTCATCCACCTTGTCGCGTATGGCCTGCGGCAATTGATACGAGTACAGGAACATATAATACTTGTGTATGAACGCAGCTCCTGTCAGCACCATGCTCAGCTCGCAGCTGTAGTTGGAGTTGTAGTGCCACATGTTGTTGCTGCTCAGATCCCAGGCGTGGTAGCGACCGGGGAAGCCGACCACTCGGTCGCGATGCTCTCGCCATACACGAAAGCCAAAGAGAATTTCATCGTGCCGCAAATGAGCATCGTCATCCACAGACAGTACCGCCTCTGTTTCGATAACATCAAAGGGCAGAAAGCGATTGTTCAGCGAATTGCGTGGTGCACGCACCACGGCGACGGGCACTCCAATGTCTGGCCAACGCAGATCGTCCAGCGGTAGCTTGGGCGAGTTCCAAACGACAACCACTTTATGCAGATAGGGCAGGCCATAGAGGCGACCCAGTGACTCCATGAGCACCTGCTCCCGCTCATACGTGAGTATGACAATGGTGAATTGCTCGCGTGGATAATTGCCACCAAGTGCTTCACTAAATTCCTTGCCAGCTCCGCCAATTCCTTTGCCAATGGGCCGAAAGCCTGTGTGGGAGCCCATGAACTTTGCTTCAGATGGCAAAGCCGGATCGAAGGGCAGTTGCGGATAGAGGAAAAATGGATCCATCCAATCGTTCCACGCTTCTTTCGATTGTATGCGCAGTATTGTATAGTTGCGACGAAACGATGGACTGGGATAGGGTGGCTCAATCGGACCCAGTGATTCCTCCGGCTCTGTGTCCATGCCAACAAGCGGCTCAGATTTCAGCGGTATAAACGTGCTATTGAAGACGCTCTGGGCAACAATTGGCGGCACCGGGCGTGGTGGTATGCCCAGTCGATCTCGCATGCTGGCTATAACCGTGTCTACTGTGGCCTGCACCGAGCTCAGATATCGCTCCCAAATGAGCCGTCCTTGACGACGCAATAGCAGCAAATCTGCATCCTGCACGGCGCGCAACAGGAAATGTAGCTCCGTTATGCGAGCTTTTGGCAGCAGCAGAGCAGCACGTCGCCAGTCAATGGTCTCGGCATACGGCAGACGCAATTCATCAGCACCTAGGATTACAGGCACAGCGCCCGAACGCAATGCTTCATAGAGACGTGCCAGCATTAGCGTCGAGCTTACCCGTTGACCCAATGGCGGAAGTATGAGCACGTATGTTGAGTCCTTGAGCAGCTGTTTGCGTGAGCTGTCGGACCCACACAGGGTCCAGTCGCCCAAGGAACCCGACTCCTGTTGCTCTGTGGCGGGCACACATTGGAATTGCAGCAAAAACTGATCCTGTGTTGAGCTTCGTGACATATCCTTAAGGTGCTCCATTATAAAGTCATCTAATGGCTGAAGCGCTGATTGTGTGGGTCGCAGCTCACCCTGAAAAGTGAGCAAGTATTTGCGACGCGCCGGCACCATGCTGGCACACTCCTGCCAAACATCGCCACCCGGCGGACCAAGAATAGGTGGCACAATCAGATCATAATTGGGCCGAAACTGATCCCGTTCAAACGAGCTCTGCACGATAATCGCTCGCATCGTATTTTGCTGCAGCAGCGGATTGGTACGCGCCGAATTCAAATCGCGACGCGCCAGATTCAATAGCACGTGATTCCTTCCATCGCCGCCCCAATAGGGCAACTTGTATAGTTTTTCCAATTCGATGGGTGAACTGTTGGCAGCCAACGAATTGGACAGAATCTGAGGCTGTTGCGCGATCTCCTCCTGAGCAGCGTATCGATTGTTGCGCAGCAAATCCTGCTCTAAGAGAGCCTCGCCCACCAGGACAAGGTAGATGCAGGCCTGTTTTGCATCGCGCACAATATGCGCATTGTAGCCTAAAGTCTGTTTTATGGTCGTCTTTAAAAATCCATCGATATCGTAACCGGGTCGCTGCACATTGTAAATATCCGGATCGTATAGATAGACGGGAAAACCGGACGTAAGGCTACATCGTGAGTGATCGAAGCAATTATGCATCTCGCAGGCAGCTGCAACTCCCTCGCTTATCCCATTCATTTTGCGAGGCAGCGAACTGGGCGTCAAAGTGCGTGGCAGAGCCAATTCTGGAGTGTTACGTTGTACGGCTTCCCGTTGCGCCACTTGCGCCTGCTCCACAGAGATCTTTAGGCGCTCGAGTTCTGTTTGCTCGCGTAACAACTCCTGCTTGAGTTCCTCAAGCTTCTGATTGTACTGACTGATGTCCGACTGCAGCTTTTGACGTCGAGATTCCAATTCGCGCAGCTCCACGGACACGGTGCTCTACAACGGGTTTGATATGTTTATCGAGTTGTCTATTGCTGTCTTGTACTTACCTTGATTCTGAGCATTTCTTCGATGCGCATCTTCAGATCACTGGCCCGCATCGCATTGAAATCCTCATAAGCATCCAGCAGAGGTCGAGAGCGATGCACATCTGTTGGCGGCGCATCCAGTTCGGCCTGCTCAGTTATTGTTTAGTTACTTCATTTTAATCAAATTGAATTTAAACTCACATTAAGCAACTTGCGATGCGCCAGCAAGGGTAGTAGTATCAAGAGCAACAATATAAGCATTATAAACTTATAAAGGCGACATTGTCGCATCCAAGCCATGCTCATGTTGCTTCTCAGATGTGTGGATGCTGGCGCTGGTAAGGATTTTAATTTATCGCTTGAATCTTGTGATAAGCTTTGATAAGCAGTACTGCCGCTAGTATTGCCCACGTCAAACGCCAGGGACATGTTGCAGCCTTGCTTCACTTCTATAATTATTAAGTTGTTCTGCTTTTATCCATACATTGAGCAATACATGATTTATTAAAAGTATTGAATAAATATATCGATGTCATCGATAATTATAATCTTGCGATATATCGAGCTGCCAGACCCAAAAACCACTAATCCATACAGCTGATTTTTCTTACATACTGCAATAGTATTGCCACCACTGTCTTGAATTTTTTTGAATATGTAAGCTGCGCCAATATATCGATTTCTTCGATAATTATGGTATGTTGTTGCTAGACCAAGAGCCACCAGCTGATTTTGTTTACATTTTATTGTTATTGTTTTTGCATACAGCCCTGTTTACGTATTTAAAATGTAAGCCGTTGCTTAACTAGATTTTGGTGTTAGGCTTATTTAAATGAAAGAAAAATAAAAACTTTTAAATGTTCGTTTTAGCATTAAGTAGTTCACTTTAAAAAAAATTAAATATTTGTTTTTGTTAGCTATGGCCGTGAAATGCAACACTAAACATAGTCGTACGCCATGCAATACGTGCACATGCATATGCGCGTAGAGAGCTTAGAATGACAAGAGGCGTAAGCCCATCATCGCAAGTCAAATCCAAGCTCTTAAATCAGTCGGTCTGCGTACGCTAGCCTCGCTTGTCGTTATCGTAGTGCTCAATTTGCTGCGTATGCGTGAGCGCGCGTGCGTGTGTGTGTGCGTGCGGGAGTGATTGCCTGATTGTTTATATGTGCGTAGTTTCTTTCGTATTTGACCGGCGGGGGATCTGTGACAAAGTGTTAAACTAATTAAATGCGTTGTGATCAAACCTAATTAGACCAATAATGAGAAGTCACATAAGTAAATTGAAGTTGTAACGGAAATTATAACATTACATTGCAAGAAACTTGACGAAAGCCCAAAGTTTTAGAAAGCACCCGAGCAATAAAAGTGAAAATGGGTAAAGTATCATAGTCAATATTAATATTTGATATTCAAGCGTTGTTAGCTAGACCTGTTTAACTATTTTTTTCAATAAATATTTGACAAACAAACAACAAAATAAACACATATAATAATTAACTAATCTATAATCAAAGCATTTTAATATAAATATACATACATATTTATTTATACATTTTTAGATATATTTACACATTTGCATATTCATTTCTTTAGAACAATGACGTTAGATAATTGTGAATAATCTTGCAAATAATGTGAAAGGTTCTTCAAGAAGTTTTGCTCATGATTAATGACAATGTAAAATTTTAATTACTTATATTAATTATAACTTTATAGTTCCAGTCTTAAGCGTGATTTCTTTACACTTTTTATACCCTGATCCCATTGAAGATGGGAAATCTGGGTATAAAGGTTTGGTTAAAATGTGTGCAACAGGCAGAAACAGGCGTGGCAGACCTCATAAAGTAATTATGCTTGATCAGGACGACAAGCTGAGTCGATTGAGGCCTGTCCGTGTGTCTGTCCGTATGTCTGAACGCATCGGTGTCAGCTTCTATAAGAGCTATAAACTTCAAATTTTTGTGTATAGCATGCGTAAATCAAGTTTGTTTCAAATAATAATCAAAAACAGGATCGAAATGCAGTATTAAATTATATCTCATACGGCTTAAGCGCTAGAGCCTCCAAATTGTGTATTTAGTTTTATGTATATTTTATGCAATTTTGATTTTTGTTAAATTTTGGATACCAGCTCCAAATTTTTCTAAATTCTGGCGCTGTTGGTAGACTTTATGCGCGTTACTTGGGCGATGTTGGTTCTAATCTTGGTAGCCTAATGACGGTTTTTATTTGTTTTTTTTTTTTAGAATGTAACCAGGATATCTCCTAGTCGGGCACGCCAACTAGCGCTTTCTTACTTGTTTCATGTTTCGATTGTTATCGTGGATTTCTTTGTCGTTGACCCCCCCGCATGGCGAACACACTTTGGGATTTGGAGCGAACAGCTTATCGTCTGTATGTGTGTGAGGCCTTATTAGGGGCACATTCAATGCATTGAGAACTGTCGCTCCGACTGCGACTCAGCAGGCTGTGTGCGTGTGTGTGAGTGTGTGTGTGCCGTGCGTGAGCTTCCCGTCTATGCGCCTAAACCTAGTGAGCACCGGTAAAGCGGGAGCACTGAGGGCGACCTTTATGTAGCTGCACTGTGTCCCACAATTACCTTGCTTAATGACATCCGTTGAGCGTTTCGGCGGATTTGTTTGACTAACTTATTATAGAAGCCGCAAGAAACTGGCTCACGTCGAGCTACGGCTATGGCTACGCCAACGACTACGGCTATGGGCATTTGTGATCCGTACGCAGTCAGTCAGTCCATCAAACAGCTGACCATCCAACATTTACCGGGCGCACAACTTATTTAAATTCAGTTCGCATTGACCAATCACACGCTGCAGTTCAGTAGAACAATGCATTTGACGATAAACCTAAAGTGTCGCAAATTTGAAATCTGGGGTAAGTTGTTGTTGCCTTTGCTGGTTTAATTAACTTAGAGCCCTCAAAAAGATAAGGCTGGCATGCAAAAGTGAATTGCTTGTGCCAAGCATTTTATAGCGTATGCAAATTATTTGGGAATGCCATGCATTTTAAGCAGTGACGACTCTGTCTTTAAAAAGGAGTTGCAGTGGAGCTCGAGCTGCAGTTAGCTGGCCGAAGTTGCGGCTTACTAAGCTCACAGAACTTAAGACATGTGTAAGTGTATAGTAGGCTAGCGAATACCCTAGTAGGTCACGAAACTTAACTTATAGAAACAATACTGGAGCTAAATTAAACTAATATCAAGTTAAGCAATAAGAAAAAATTCTTATAAGTGATATGAGATATAAATAAACTGGCAAAATAAACTGGTAAATCATTTTATGCTTTCCAGTCTTCTAGCGCCATGTTTTCAAAAAATTAACTGTCAAATTGCTGCACGCTTTCCAGCGCAGCTTTTTTTCCAATAGTTTTGTGCTTTTGTGTTTGTCCGCCGATAAGCATATTAGAGAAGATAAAAATAAAAGAAGTGCACGCCGCCAACGTTGGGACTCATGACTGAGCTTGTCAGTTTGCTTCTGGCGGGCGAGCGAGCGCGAGGGCAGCAAAAACAAAGCTCGCATAAATCAGATCATCGGCATAGAACAGTTGTACTATTATGGGCTTGAGGAAAATATTTAAATGTTTGTTTTGACTAATTTAATGTTGTTGTTATGCTGCACGTGCTTCAATTGTCTTCAACAAAATGCTCCAAATGCAAATTCTGCTGTTATTAAAAAGAAAATAATCAAATGTGTGCAAGAGCGTGAATGCGAGCGTGTGTGAGTGTGTGTGTGCGTGTGGAGGAGAGACAGAGAGAGAGAGAGAGCGAACAGCTGTTCTCTGGCTACACCTGTTGAAATGTTTTAAAAGCTTTCAGCGGCTTGGCTTTAATGCGCTCTTCAATTTGCATTGTTTGCAACATTCTGTTTGGCTTTTGTTAAGTATACGCCACATGGACACGCACATTCAATGCATTCATTTACATTCTTATAAGACTTGACAATTAATATTGGATTCCATTTAATTTCCGTTACGTTTCGCCCACTGATTTTCAACATAACAAATGCAAATGTGAGTATATTTGACTGTAAGAAATGAAGAATGAAACAAAGCTAAAAGTTGTCATTGGCATTGGCATTGGAACGAACTTGCTAGCAAGTTGGTCTCATATGTCTGTATATTCCATATATAATTATGTGGAACATTTTTAGGCTATTAGTCGAAACGGATATATCTTATCAATGACGAGAATAAAAGTGTATGGCATATTCTGCTTATCTTCTTTTGTTGTTGTTGTACTCTTTGGCAATGATTAATCGTTCTGGGTGTCTTCCTCTTTACTTTCAGCTTTTTCACTGTCCTCACTGTTTCTCGTCTGTTATATTCTGAAATTCACTTTAGCACTCATCATACTAAACAAGGAGATCGAAACATCGCGAGGCATGCTTTATCCACGTGAGTCGGAGACGCGGGAAGTGCGCACGCTCGATGGCATCTGGAACTTTGTGCGCTCGGATGAGACGAATCCGACGCAGGGTGTACGTGATGGCTGGTTCAAGGATGACCTGAGCAAAAGTATGCCCACCATTCCCATGCCAGTGCCGGCTTCGTACAACGATATCACCACGGAGCAGGCATTACGCGATCATGTGGGCACCGTTTGGTATGACCGAAAGTTTTTCGTGCCACGCTCCTGGGGACAGGATCAACGGGTTTGGTTGCGCTTCGGCAGTGTGCACTATGAAGCCTTCGTGGTAAGTCAAGCGCTAAATAAATATACTCTATATATGTATCTGTATATATATATCGGCAGTGGGTCAATGGACGGATGGCTGTTAAGCATGAGATGGGACATTTGCCCTTTGAGACGGAGGTCACGCACTTACTTAAATATGGCGCAGAGAATCGCATCACGGTTATGTGCGACAATGCGTTGATACAGACGACGGTGCCGCAGGGCAAAATCTCGGAGGTGGCCAACGATGGTGGCGTTGCTATCATACAAAGCTATACATTTGATTTCTTCAATTATGCGGGTATACATCGATCCGTCCATCTGTATACGACGCCCAAAACGTTCATTGAGGAAGTGGAGATCAAAACGAATCTGTCCCCGAATAACAGCGGTAAGAAAACTAAAAGCAACTGAGAGTATCCGACTAGGATATACCCCACACTTTGTTAGATAAAGAGTTAGATAGAGTGAATTATGTTCTATATGCCTGAGCAATGATCTGATATCCATTAGCGAATGCTCAGCTAGAAAACATCCTTAATTCTGGCAGATAAGTCACTGAATTGAAGATGGTTTGGTATCCTGTTATCAAGTTAAAATATAGACTCGTGAAAACGATAATATTTTTGTTTTTCAGTGGGCACCGTGGACTACAGCATCACAGTGAATGGTACAGCTGCCAATGAAGCGGAGAATACCCTCTTCGCACGACTGCAGATCTACAATCGAGAGGGCGTGCAGGTTGCCAATGTGACGTCGGACAGCAAGCTGGTGGGCTCGTTGCAAGTGGAGAATGTGAAGCCCTGGTGGCCATATCTGATGCATTCGAGTCCGGGCTATCTATACGAGCTGGAGATTCAACTGTATGCAGCCAAGGAGCAGCTGCTGGATGTCTATCGTCTGAATGTGGGCATACGTACGCTCAGCTGGACCAATACGTCGTTTCTCATCAATGGCAAGCCGATTTATTTCCGCGGCTTTGGACGGCACGAGGATGCGGATGTGCGTGGAAAGGGTCTGGACAATGCGCTGATGGCGCGTGACTTTAATTTGCTTAAATGGATTGGCGCCAATGCTTATCGCACCTCGCATTACCCTTACTCGGAGGAGTCCATGCAGTTCGCCGATCAGCATGGCATCATGATTATCGACGAATGCCCCAGCGTCGATACAGAGTAATTATTATAAGAACTATTCTGGAATATATAATAATGATTAATTGAACTTCTGCAGGAACTTCAATCAGGCTTTGCTAGACCGCCACAAATCCTCGCTGGAGCAGCTGGTACATCGCGATCGCAATCATCCCAGTGTCGTGATGTGGTCCATTGCCAATGAGCCGCGCACAGGCCAAGTGAATGCCGATACATATTTCCAGTGAGTGAATGAATTCTAGCAATTAGTTGATCTATAGATCTATAACCTGTGCGCTGTCTATAGATTCGTGGCCAACTACACACGTTCCTTGGATAGTACAAGACCAATTACAGCCGCTATCGCAGTGCCCTCGAATGACGACAAAGCGGTAAGTGGGCTAAGCACAATGATTGAATTACATTTGTTTCATGCTAATGTCATAAGCAGGGCCGCCATTTAGACATAATTAGCTTTAATCGCTACAACGCGTGGTATAGCAACACAGGTCGATTGGATATGGTCACAGAGCGTGTGATTAGTGAAGCAACTGGATGGAATAAGAAGTATGGCAAGCCGGTTATTATGTCGGAATACGGAGCCGATACACTGGAGGGTCTGCATCTGGTAATATAGAGAAATGATTGATGAATGCGAATTTGCAAACTTAATTTATGTGCTTTCAGCAACCGGCCTATGTTTGGTCTGAGGAGTTCCAGACAGAGGTTTTATCGCGCCACTTCAAAGCCTTCGATGCTTTGCGGCGCAAAAAATGGTTTATTGGAGAGTTCGTCTGGAACTTTGCCGACTTTAAGACAGCGCAATGTGGGTAGCAGTTACCAAGGATTACCATGGTAGTGCCATATTAAAAGTTTGACTATCTTTTCAGCCTACACGCGTGTCGGCGGCAATAAGAAAGGCGTCTTCACTCGTGCCCGGCAGCCAAAAGCGGCGGCTCACCTGTTACGTCAGCGATACTTTGCTTTGGGGCGCGAGGTGGATCAGTGCAATATACCAAGTGACCTGTTCACCTACATTGTTGACGTTGGTGGGTCCAATTTCAAGCATGATTCAACAGATTTATGAGTACATCATCGTCGACTATAAGACACTTAAGCTGACAAGACAACAAGACAGTACAATATTTTATATACATATATTTAAGTCCATGGAAAAAATAAGTATTTTAGCTATTTATACCGATTTTGTAATTAATGTTTTCCTGGAACTGAACTTAAACGCATTTCAGTAGCATAAGCCTTATAATTTTTGTAATAAACAGTTTTTGTTTTTGTCTCAGATTAATTAGTTTGATTGCTTTTATTTGCAAATCATAATTTGTAAACAGGAACAGCTGATTTTTGCAATCATTTGGTAAATTTTATCGATGAATTTCGTTTGTTTTCGATAGGCCGGCTGTTAACATGGACGATATGTATTCAAATGAAAATCATCGTTTGTTATCGAGCAATTAAACACTGTCAGCCAAAATGTGAATCATTCACAGTTATATGGTATGTTTTTATTTGTTTCATTTAAACTTTTTCGTTAACTTTCGTTGTTTGTAACCCAGGCATTGCCACCTATTGGAAAGTTTGTTATCGCTTAAAAGAGGGCGTTTATACACAAAAAACACAGAGTGATGAGGCAATGCGGGTGTTAGATATTCAATTATACGACGGCAAACATAATTTACATCACAATGCAAAAAAAAATATTAAGTATTGTTATAACATTACTCTGCGTGTGCATCTTGGATACGATATTGTCTCAGCCTGATGATAATCTAAAAAGCCAGTTGGAATTTGGATACGAGCTATACGATGAGGAGGTTTATTCCTATTCCGAAGTACTTCGACCGACACCCACAGTGGGATTGCTTTTTCCCCGAGCATCTGAGACGCGAGAGGTAAACTCTCTGGATGGTATATGGCAACTGGTTCGCAGCAATTCCAGCGATCCACTGCAGGGCATATACGAAAGGTGGTATAGTCGAAATCTCCAATCTACGGGTTATAAAATAATCAAAGTACCTGTGCCGGCATCATATAACGATGTGACCGTAGACGAAGAACTGCGCGACCATGTGGGTACAGTTTGGTATGAGCGTCACTTCTTTGTGCCCAGCCGTTGGAATACAAACGGGACACGCACCTGGTTGCGCTTTGGTAGCATTCACTACGGGTGTTTCGTTTGGATCAATGGTCAGCGAGCGTTGAACCACAGCTTTGGCCATTTGCCCTTTGAAGTGGAAATCGGAGGATTGGTCAAATATGGCAAGGAGAATCGCATTACAATCATGGTTGACAATCGACTCAACAACTCCAGCATACCCCAGGGTGAAGTGATTAAGCAGTCGGATGACACTGGCCACGTCCTTATACAAACATACACATTTGACTTTTTCAACTACGCCGGCATACATCGCTCTGTACAGCTGTATACAACGCCACAAAATTACATCAGAGACATTGAGCTGAAAACACAGGTGAACAAGCAAATGGGTCGCATTGACTATAAATTGTGGATTGGTAATGAGCATGAGCAGGACTTCAAGAGCACCATATTAGTCCAACTGCTTGATAGAGATCACAATGTTGTAGCCCACCAGCTAAATCGGAATTACCTCAATGGCACTTTGCTAATACCAAACGTAAAGCCTTGGTGGCCCTATCTAATGCATCCGGAGCCCGGCTATATGTATACTCTGCAACTCAATCTGTTGGCAGAGAGTGGGCTGCTGTTAGATAGCTATCAGCTACCAGTTGGTATTCGTAGTCTCAGCTGGGACAAAGACGGAATATACATTAATAACCAACCGGTTTACTTTCGTGGTTTTGGAAAACACGAAGACTCCGATGTAAGATACTTTTAAAATTTACTTGTAATATCTTAGTGGTAATAATAACCTCTCAGATTCGCGGTAAGGGCCTGGACAACGCCTTGCTTACGCGAGACTTTAGTCTGCTTCAGTGGGTAGGAGCGAATGCCTATCGCACGTCCCACTATCCCTACTCGGAGGAATCAATGCAATTTGCTGATGAACATGGCATTATGATCATTGATGAGTGCGCCAGTGTTAATACAGATTTATTCGGGCTCCCGCTGTTGCAGAACCACATGTCTTATTTGGAGCAGCTTATACATCGCGATCGCAATCATGCGTCAGTAGTTGCCTGGTCTATAGCCAACGAGCCACGTACACAGAAGCCAATAGCTAAAAAATATTTCGAGTAAGTCTATGCCTAAATTTTGCATAATCTAGTACACTTGAGTTATAAACTTCCCTCTCTTGATAGTGAATTGGCAAACTATACACGTAGCATCGCACAAGGGCGTCCAATAACTGCTGCTTCCAATGTGGCTGAACCATCTATGTGCATGATGTCTGAATTTTTGGATATTATTGGCTTTAATCGTTACAATTCCTGGTATCACAATCCTGGACGCACTGACATGATCATAAGGCCAATAGTGGACGAGGCCGTGAGCTGGCGAAATCTGTATGAAAAGCCAGTCATTTTGTTCGAGTATGGCGCCGATACCCTTGAGGGCTATCATACGGTAAGCACACATAAGAATACACAGCATAGAGGAGTGGAAGTTTACTGATATTTTCTAAACAGCTGCCAACATTTATTTGGTCGGAGGAATATCAGAAGACGATGTTATCAAAGCATTTCCAGGCGTTTGACAAATTGCGCAAGCTGAAATGGTTCATCGGCGAATTTGTCTGGAATTTTGCGGACTTCAAGACGGAGCAGAGTAAGTTATTCTCTTAAATAGTAAGTGAATTATATAAATAACAACACTATGTTCTACTCTTTAGCCTATACGCGCGTAGGTGGCAATAAAAAAGGCGTCTTCACGCGCAACCGACAGCCCAAAGATTCAGCACATCTGCTACGACAGCGTTATCATATGCTCGCATTTATACTAAATAACGCCAGCTTGCCGCCAGATCTCTTTAATTACATTATTGACTTTAGTTTATAATTTTATGTGCAAAAGCTTTTTCCTTCTATTTAAAGTCCAAATTGTGTGCTTTTAACTGGAAACCCAATTAAAGCCAAAATGCAAATATTTATATATGGTTCATATACGAATCTTTTTAATGTTTTCAAAGTGCATTCATGAAAATATATTATGTATATAAACAGAAAGTAAAATTAAGCAAATACTGATAATTTGCAAACTAATTTTGAGAAATGTTAAAGTTCCACTGATTGCGTCTGTTGTTGGGGAAGCACTCGACATCCCTGATAAAAGCAGCGCGCTTTCTACATCTTTATAATAAAAGCACACAGAAATCCCCAAGCTACACTCAGTATTAAGTTCAACTGCCGAGAAGATGCAAAACGCTGTACTGCTGTTCACATTACTGGTCTGCCTTGGTCCTTATGGTGCCTTGTCTGCGACGAACCTTACGGTCTACCTGGAGGACTATATAGTGGGAAACCAGAGGCAATATGATGCTAAGCTTAAACAGTGTGAGACTGAATTGGCCAACATTCGATTAGTCTACACAGGCAGCCTGCGCGCAATTAGCATCCAGACAGATCAGTTGGAAGTGAGGCTGACGGAGGCGAAAGAGCGTCTAACTCCAATTGAGTTAATCGACTCGTGGCACAAGGAATGTGTACAGAATCAAAGCAAAAACATTCCAGACATAGCCACAGTGCGAAAGACCCTCAACGCTTGCGCGAGTACAGCTGAAAGCAACATCAACAGCATTTTGACGAATGCACAAAACACTTATAACTCTCTAAAGAGCTACTATGCTAACAGCTTAAAGAATTTACTGGCCGACTGTCTAAAACGATATCCCGATTCGCTAACGAACTATACAGTTTGTATTAAACAAGCGGTGAGTTGAATGCTATAATACGATTGTGTAATTAACAAAGTTTTTCAATTTGCTAACTTTGCGACTGCAATGCATTTACAACTGACCATGGTGGGTTGCAATATTCACCTCCTTGCACTATTATTGTGCCATCTCACTCTAACTAACATAACTCCCAATAAGCTTCTTGTTCTCACTTCACTGTGTTAGCTAAACCGATTAAGCTATAAATAACTTGTAAATACAGCTGACCTATCGTCATCTCGCTCTAACTTATATATTATGTAATGATCCTTGGTATATTTTGCCATCTGTTTCTTTTGCTCGTCACACACATGCAAAATTACGTATGCATGCCCATATGCAATACATATGTACATATCTATATGTTTAAATTTATGACTTGGTACTTTCACTTTAACTTACAGATAGATACAGTTAACACCTATACCATAAGCAATCAGAAGAATTTCAACACGTATATACAACAGGCAAAGTGCGCTGCGGACATACGCATTAACCAGGCATGGGAGTGTGCATTTGGCACGATCTATGATTCTGCGGCTAAAGTGGGCGCAGCTTTGCGTGTCATCGATGATTGCATTCAAAATCAACTGACCTGCGCCTCAGTGGCCTGCACCACCAGTTGCAGAAATCACATGGTCATCAACTTCACCCAAAACGACTTTCTTAACGCCACCATCAAGAATCCCTTCTTCGGCTTGGATAGTAAGATCGGATGCATGGAGATGAAGTTCAAGAATTAAGGATGTAATATGTGAAGCTGGCTTGAGAAATATCTTAATTAACTAATATATATATATATATATATATATATATATATTTATATATATATATATATAAATGTATATAATATATATAAATATATATAATATTGTACTACAACAATTTTGCCTAAATAATAAAGTAATATGATTGCAAAATGATGTTTATTCTCGTTCACGATGGAAAGAACAGAGTATATTGGTTGCTGGCAATGTCAGCATTAAAGCAAGGCATAGCGCAAGAGCTATGAACATTGTAGATATGGTAAAATCTCAGTTAAGCGTGGAAATTACTACATATAATAAGAAGTAAATGCTTTTATCTGAGTCGTTATTGTAGCTTAAGACTTGGAATTTATGAACTTATGCTCGGGTATAACACCCAGAGATTAACACATGTATATAGTTTATAGAAGTATATAAAGTATATAAAAAGCTTTTGTTGACTAAAGAGTATTGCCCTCTTATGGCCTGAACACTTTGAGAAAATGGGAAATCAGGACATACGTCTTAAAAGCTAGAGTAGTAGAGTCCAGGAAAAGCGGCTTCAAATTAGCCCAAATTCTTTAAATTCCATTTCTATTGGATATAGAGTCAATATGTGAAAGAGTTTGCATTTCAACTAGACGGACAAGTACTCCAATAGAATATGTAGATTATATGCTTTAAATTTAATTAAAGTCCGTTAAGTGAAACATTGTTATTAAACAAGTCTATTTAAAGAATCTCAATTGCGATGGAATTTTGTTTAAATTCTCAGCTGCTACTTTAGTTGAGGCTTGCAACCTTGCCCAGGGAACTTGGTTTGGTTAGGTACCTCTGACTAGAAATTTCTCACTTGCTTTTGGATGCTGTTGCCATCAGGTGATCAAGTTGATAATTTAATTGAAATATATGTGATAATTCTCAACTTCTTTTCTTTGAAGGCTTAGCTCACGCTTATCTTTTCTGCTTGTTATTCATGTTTATTTATGTAAGTACTATTTATATGCTTTTATTCTTAGGCAGCAAGCGCGTACTCATTTAATCTAAAAATTAATATATTGTTTAGTCAGCTGAGTCATGTGTTTTAAATTGTTATTAAATAAATATTTTTATTTTATATTTTTTGTATTGAATTGAAATACATTTAACAAAAATTAAATGATTTTAATACTTAATACTGAAAGAATTCTTAACTTAAGTAGTCTTCTATCAATCGATGCCTGCATTTAGGTTCAAGAATTAAGGATGTCTAAATAGTAAACTAAACTAAACTAAACTAAACTAAACTAAACTAAACTAAACAATGTCTTCTAAATTTACAGTATTCTTTATCACAGAGCCCAAATTAGGGTTGTTTCACACACGAGCAATTATCTACTAGGTGAGCAGAAGGCACCAATACCATGATATTAGAATCATGTCTTCAAGGAAGATCTTAACAGATCGGAGATTTTTTTCTTCAGGCTGCATAGCGTGGGAAACGAGCTGAAAACATACCAAAGTTATGTATATATTGATAACAGGTAAGCAGCAAGGCTAAGGCAAACATATAATTGCTATAATTTTCGATCGTTTATATGCAAATGAAATCAGAAAAGCATCAATAATATAATTAAACACAACCACAGGCGAACAGCAGGGCCAGCAGGTTGCTACCCAGCCAGGATATTTACCTGTATTAACTGATATACCTGATAGATAAAAACCACCACCATCTGTTGAGTTGGAAGTGCTTCTCTTAAGAAACCCAATGAAAATTTCAACCCTCCTTTGAGGTATTGTTCAAGCACAAAAATGTCTTGGTGGTTACTAGGGCAACAGCAACAGCAGCAGCTACTGCCACGTTACTCCACACCTGGCAACCAGCAACCACCTTTTGGTTGGCTTCCTTACAAGATACAATCTGCTTTGCAACGTCTTCATTGGTAGCAGGCGAACAGCATTGCCAGTTGGAGTGCTAAGAAACATCTCAAGAAGCCACAAAACCAGGGCAAAGAAGGGATGAAAGTGTCTTCATCCGAATAGTTAAAAAAAAACAGTTGAAGCCGTATAACCAATGGACTGGAATGTCATAAGGTAAAGGTAGGAGCAAGCGATCACAGGTATAATTTCTTTTCATACCTTGACTCCAGTGAGTATGCTCAACAGGGTATACTAGGCAGAGGGTATGAGAAATTCACGTCCTCTGAGCTACTACTTAAACTATAATCATGTTCCCTGTCATCATTATCATTACCTTTTCCATATCATCATTATCATTATTTTCATTATTATTCTTAATATATTTTTCATTATAATTATCATCATCATCTTCATCAATATTAGTACATTATCATAGTTTTCATTAGTATGAATACGATCATTATGAGAATTATCATCATTATCATTATTAGCATCTTTTAATTGGCATCATCATCATAGATTATGATAATTATCATCACAATTATTTTCGCTATCATTATCATCATCATTACTATCATCATTATCATCATCATTATCATTATCATCATCATTATCATTATCATCACCATCATCATTATCATCATCATTACTATCATCATTATCATCACCATCATCATCATCATGACCTTTCCTGTTTAATGACATCAGCATCATTATTACATCATTATCATTCCCTCCCATCATCTTTATTAATATCATACCCATCATAATTATCATTATCATCATAATCAGCCATTGCATGGTATCTCCTAGTCAGGCACGACCAACGCACTTTGTTTTCTTCCTAATTATGATGAGCGTGTGAAAAAAGCGATTTGAAGATCAATGAAAGAACGCAAATAAAAAGAAATGTATTTTCTCTAAGAGCTGCTGCAGGTAAGGATCTGTGCAGGCATCAAATAGGTTTGTTCCCAGCATAATAACCATGTGAACTTTTTGGTTTCTGTGGGAATTTTGATGAAACAATCTGAAATTCTCAACAGGCGAACAGATAAAATTGTAGAGCTAAATTCCCACGATGAAGATTCTTTAGCTGATCCTCGACATGTTTGCTGGCTATGTTTAACGGAAATGGGCGGAATGTAACGGACTCTGTGTGTCTGTGTGTAGGTAGGGCCTGCCTTAGAGCCAGCTGAATCTAGGCCCAGCTGCGCGGTTACAACAAACAAAACACACACAAAAATGAGCGTGAGAATTTTTCACGCCAAGTGACGTTAGATTACCAGGTGAACAGCAATGGTAATAGAGTTACAGTTACTTGTGGACGCGATCTGAAATTTATAGTATTTTAAGAATCTTAATGAAGTTGTCAGCTACTGTCAAGTGCTGCTGTGTGCCTGTTATATTGACAGCCAATTTGCGATCATAATTAGGAGTCTTTAGGAACTCCTTCGCTCTAGCTCTCACACTCTTCCTCTCTCTCTCTCTCTCTCTCTCTCTCTCTCACGCTGCGTTCGGGTAGTTCGTTCCGCTTCATGGAGCAGCCCTGTTGATTGTCACGATAATTTCATGTTTTTGAATAGGCATACAGAAGTTCACAGCCAGTTCTCAAGTCAAATATAGCTCGTTAGAGCTCGCACACACATGCGAAGAGGAAGACCCTAATATGCGTGGAGTGTGTATTAAATTACATTCAATTGATTTTCTTTCATGAAGCCGTTGTTCATTTCTTTATACACTGAGCACATGAATGTGCATTAAATGGGGTATATTGGTTACTTAGTGAATGCACAAATTCTTATTTCCATTCATTTAAGAAAAGTATTGAAATATATATTGGCATACAAATAGCCTGAAAATTATATAAAAATATGACTTTTTTATAAGAATAAATTAATTTAAATAAAGAAAATAAAAATCAAATATAAAATCTAGTGAAATTTAAACATAGATAAATAAATTTAAATAAAAACAAATGCAAAATCAATCTAGATAATATAAGCTTAAAAAAAATGATTTAGTTCAAGTAGCTTCAGTCAAGGGACTACAAAATCTTGATTTCAAAGCAATTGTGAATTATTAGTATACATTTTGAATTATTTTGTATATAAAATTATTTTAAGAATTTTTAAAATATAATAAAAATTTTGTTTATAAGCCGAAAAACTGGGAACTCCAAGCAAAACGTAAATATAGAGCAAAGCTTGAAGCCAAAACTCAATGAAGAAAATATTTAGAAAATATTTAAATTAATTTAATTTTTATGATTGTTAAAAAGTCAAACCAAAACGACTTAATCTTGTATATACTAACAAGTCAGGGTAGCGGCTAGTCGGGCACACTGCACTTGCCCGCTTTGACTTGTGCATCTAATTAATAATAAACAACAAATCTTGAAGTTGTAAACACGAAAAGAGTTAAAAATTGTAGCAAAGCAATAGGAGAACAGGAATATAGCGAGGAGAACTAACTCTCCGAATTCATATTGTTCAAACTAAGAGCGAGGCATTGCCTAAGCGCAGGTAGCTGCTGCTGTTGACCTGTTCGAAATCAATTAGAAAAGCAAACACAAAGAACATAAATCAAAGGTTTCAAAAAGATAGAAGGAAGGAGAGGAAGAGGCAGAGAGGGCGACAGCGGATTAGTGATCCAGACAATGGGCTGTGGTTTCAAAAGGTAATCAAGCTGAACGAATACACAGGTGCACAGAATCCTGACGAAAGGTAGCGATTGTGCGTGGAATAATCCAAATTTTTAAAGATTTCAAAATCAGAATTTTGTATGTAGCCAGAAATTGCTGCTTGCCTATTCGAATGCACCAGTTTAACCCTTTGACCCTTTAAATCATTCATTAAAGTCAGATTAACGATAATCGATTGAACACAATTCCAGAATCAATGAAGCGTGACTTCAGCGCTCAAATGCACAGGATGACAGCAACGTCAAGCGGTAAATACGAATTCGATAATTCTCAAAATCTCTCAAAGACAAACTCTGATCTCTACCCAGCAAATCTCCATTAGGTCGACTACCTGCTGATGGGTCTTAGTTGCATTGATGCTCGTTTCTATGCATTGCATCCAGGAGTGTTCAATACAAGGTGCTCTTAATTTAACCTAATTGTGTGACGTCACAATTTGAAAATTTGTATGCGTTCATCGATCTCTGTGTGAGAAAAAATAGACAGTTCACTCTGTTAAAGGTCATTGAACTGAATTATCGGTCAAATAAAGAATTGGCTGTTTTAATTAAAATATTATGCAATTAATATTAAAAATGTATAAAAACTTGCAAGTATTGGATAACAGCGCGCCAAAATTCAAATAGATTAAGAGCAAAATGTAAAATTGCAAACATTAACTGTTAGTTAAAACTAATTTAAGTGCTCTTTCAACAATCTTTTAGCAGTGCAGAGAGACTTCTCAGTAGCTGTTTCTTAACAGCGGCGTAATCTTTTAACTGTGGAAGACACTGTAAGAGTCAGTCCACATAGCATTGCCATTCTGAGTATTACAGCTGTATAATATTACGATATATCGTTGCGCTGTCATCTCTATGCTTGTCAATTAGTGCTGCCGGACTTCCGAAATTATGTAGTAGTTTGTAAACAAACCAAATTGGAATTAATTTTATTTGACTAAATTGACCAATACAATGCGAATTAGCCAACATTTTTCGCAGCTGTGGGAGAAACGCAGTCCCACTGCCAGCCACATTGGTACCTATATCTTCTTTGCTCTGCTGCGCTTAGTCCTAGTATTTGTGCCCCAGTTGGGCTATGTACATCCCGATGAGTTTTTCCAGAGTGTTGAGGTGATGACGGGTAAGTGGAGAAATGTTTGGAAAATTAAACCGGTCTCACTCCACCAAATTAATTCGCACAGGGGATCACTTTCGCTTGGAGCACACTCGCTCCTGGGAGTTCAATAATTCGATGCCGGTGCGTAGCATCACGCTGCCATGGGCGCTGCTGCGTGTGCCCTGGAGCTTCTACGAGTTTTTAGCGTTGTACGTGCGCGACTGGTGGCACGTGGAGCTCATTAATAGCTATGCGTATCTGGTATTCCCACGTCTGATATATACGTTCATTTCGTACAGTAACGATTGGTGTTTGTATCGCATTTGCCGACTCTACGGCCTGCGCCATGAAATCCGGCTGCTGGCGCTGGGTAGCAGTTGGGTGCTGTTGGTGTTTGGTACGCGCACCTTCTCCAACTCACTTGAACTGGCCATGTGCGCTTGGCTACTATGCCTGGTGGCCGAGTGTATGTTAAAGACCAATACTGTGGTATACAAAAAGGAATATCTTGAGGAGAAGTACGACAAGGCAGCTTCGATAAGCGAGCGTGTAAAGATCTGGAAGCTAAAGAATGCACTACCCGCGCACAATTTACAGCATATGTTCGCAATGTCGAGCATATGTGTGGCCGGGGTCTTCAACCGGCCCACCTTCCTGCTCTTCGGTGCGCCCATGGTCTTCTTCTGGCTGCTGCGCGGCATGGGAACGCGCAGCGTTAGTTTTCGGGACTTTAATCTACGCATTGGACTCTTCTGCCTGTGCGCACTGCCAGCTCTGCTGCTGTTTATCTTCTGCGACTCGCTATACTATCAGCATCTGACCGTGGGCGAGCTGCACATGCTGCAGGTGGGCATTGACAATTTCGTATTCACTCCCTGGAACTTCATAAAATATAATTTGGATCCGACTCATACGGCCTCGCATGGCGTGCATCCGTGTTACGTGCATTTGCTGGTCAACATGCCGCTGCTCTTTAATGTGCTCGGTCTCGCTAGTCTGGTGGCCTTCGCGCAGCTCCTGTTGCGCTTCTTCTGTGCCGAGTATCAGCTGCTGCCGCGCTTTCAGAGCATTGTATCCCTGATGTCGGGCGCGATCTTTGTGCCGCTCTTTTTTCTGTCGCTCATCAATCATCAGGAGCCTCGTTTTTTGCTGCCTTTAACATTTCCTCTGCTGCTGCTGCATGCACCGAAGCTGATCACCGGTTTCAGTGCCACATATCCCTTCCAGACGCAACATCCAATGCTGCGATGGCTCTACGATCATGTGCTCTGCAGCCGGGCCTCTGCGCCGCATCTGCTGCGCATTTGGTATGTGTGTAATGTGTTGTTAACGGTATTCTTTGGCTTCATACATCAGGCAGGCATCTTTCCGCTGGCTCAGCGGATGGCGCATGTGATGGCTACTAAGCCAATAGCCACACATGTGCATCTGCTTACCTCGCACACCTACAGCCTGCCGTTGCATCTAGTCAATGTGCCCAGCTCGCGAGAGCTGCACTTCAATCCCCAGACACACCAACGTTATAGGCGTCCGCGCGACTTCTATTTATACGAATATGGCGGCCTGGCAATGGACAGCCTTCTGGACAAGGTGAAGCTAATTTCGGGCAATTGCGAACTGAAGCGGAATGGCGCCACGCGACTGCGCTACAAGATGTACCTGGCCATACCTGCGCCACTCAGCGACGAGCTGCACGAGGCATTGCAGCGCTCCAATGCCAGCAGCTTTCTGCATTTCGAGCTGATTTCCGTATTCTATCCGCATCTCTCTACGGAGGCGTTTCCCCGGCTGCGCGGACGCCATCCCTGCGATGTGGATGCGCCGCACTGGAAGTACGACGATCTGAGCGGCACCTGCGAAGTCGAACTGCCGCCAACGCTGAGCTTCGCCTACTTGAGCCGTCAGTTCAGCTCGTTTGTGCATCAGTTTGGACTTGCGCTCTATGAGATCGATGTGCGGCGCAAGCAGCCGCGTTCGCCTACACACACGCTGGATCTGAACACAGCGCCAGCAACGCCGCTGCCCGAGTCCCCGGCGTAATTATGGGCACTGGGCGTATCAATGTTATAACTGTCGCATGAGTGTCTTAAACCAAAGATTAAGCTAAGCATTACACTAGTCGCGAGATATTTGTAACTCTAATCACGAAATCATCTTTTTTATGACAGTATCAAAACCCAAGCTGATATTACCCATAAAAAATAACACAATCATTCTAAACACAACATTCCTGCTTCTAAATTCTAAAATATGGCTTGAATACTGTTAATAAAACGTTTGTCGATCTCATATCACACACTTTATATATATTGCTTTTTTATTATGTTTCGTAAAAGATTTGGATATTAATAACAAAATTGTTCCTGTTATAATTCATGGAAATAAAGGTAAAATTTAATTGAGTAAAAACTTTTATAAGCAAAACACTATTATAAGAATGTATTTTAAATTTGCTTTAATTTACTCAAAATATATTGATTTTGTGAAAATGCATATCACCTGTGGAAGAAGGCGTGGTCGAGCCCCTAAGGCACATAGGATCAATAGCAGAGTCGACTTAGTGCTCTCTGTGCTTCAAATGTTGTTCCTATAACAGATCATGTTTCTTGAATACAACTTTCCCAATGTCATGAAATGTGTTCTAAATATTCTTAAGCTTAAGAGCAGATCTTGGCCCCCCGAAAGCCCAGACAAAACTTTCATTTAACTTCATGCTCAAGCAAAGTCTTTAAAATTCCTTTGGAAATAAAAATTGTTAACTTTATTCAGCGTAATCAATGGATCGTTAAGGAGGATGGGGTATGCCTGTCAAGCACTTTACTTCTTCTTCAGGAAGGGGCTGATGACAGCTGGTGCAGCATAGGTGGCAACTGGGGCAGTGTAGGCAGGTGCAGCATAGGTGGCAACAGCGGGAGCGCTGTAGACAGACGGGGCGTAGGCGGAGTAGGCGGCTGGCAAGGCAGCGGCCGAGTAGGTGGTCACTGGAGCAGCAGCCGCATAGGTGTAGGCGGGTGCCGCAGCATAGGTGGCGGCGGCATAGCCGGGTGCAGCAGCATAAGTGGCCACTGGAGAGGCCAGATAGCCAGCCTGAGCGACGGCGAAGCAGAGAGCCAAGCAGATGAGGAACTGCAAAGAGAAGCGAGACAATCAGAGATTGAGAGAGGAAAAGAGAGAGAGGGAGTTCTGGACTTACCTTCATATTGTAGTGGATTGGGTTGTTTGGTTGCTTGAGTTGTCAGCGACTGATGCTGTTGGCCAATTTGCCGAACTGTTTTATAGCCCAGCGATTGGCAGCGCGGCCTAGGGGCTTAAACAAGTTTGCGGCTTAGGCAGAATTAGAACATAATGGGCAAGCAATGAGAACTGTTTTGCTGTACTCTATTTAATTTCTATTTTTTTGTTTTCTTTTTGTTGATTACGTTCAATGAACGCGGATGCCGCGCCTTGTATAGAACGCGATTGCCAAATGTTTGTCGCGGCGTGTCAAATGGATTAATATTTTCCATTTCATGTTTTGCCAGCTTTTGGCAACAACTCGCACTTGGAATTAAATCAAATCAGCCTTTGTTTGACAGCATAAAAGCGAAAAGCAATTGCTAAAAAAAAGAACTGATCAGGTTTATCAAATTGTTGGTCTATTGACGTGCCTCGAATCTGAGTCGATTGCTTGAGACTTTTATAATAGTTCTTCAGTTACTCCAGCTACTTAATGAACTGCTAATTAAATGAAATTATCTATCTCTTGATAAGGCTGAAGCCATTAGAATCTGCTGCTTCTTTATGTAACAGCAGGAGGCAAATATAAGATCTAAATATAAATAGAGAGCCTTGATCAGGACTGCTAGCCGAGTCAATCATGGTCTGTCTTTTGGGACTTCAGTCTTTTTATTTTTGCATTCATATTTAGAAGTCTTATTCGTATTATAAATACTACAATGAATGCGAAAACTATGCACTACTTCCGTTTGCAAATGAGCACAGACCAAGCCATTGCTTACTTAAGGGGCTTAAGGTATCTGCTAGGCGCTATCTTACCGATCAGATGGATTCGAAGTCATAACAAAGACGTCTGAGGGTCAAATTCCAAATTTGATTTCTTTCGGGAGTGCACGACTCACAAGCACCCCGAAAGGCCTTCCAATCTAGTGCATATCTATACACAATTATTAAAGAATCTCTAATTTCTAATTATTTCATAAAGTGGTAGTAACTTTTGTTCAAACAGACACACACATACATACATATAGATATATACTTACACTTAAATATTATAGATATATTCTGATAGCTTCATGAATAGAAATCTTGAGCAAGAGTTTGCCCAACTAAAGCTTTCTGAATATGCACTTTAGTTACCTTCTCTTAATAAGTAAATTAAAATTACTAAGTAAAAGACCATTCAACGATTTCCCACTGGCTTTTCCCATGATTAAACACAGTTATATAGCTCTGCTTTGTATATGTTGTTCTATAATTTTATTTGTGATTGAAGGCAATCGTAAATGCTTAAAATAGATATTGAATCGTTGATGCTAGCAACTTGTAACTAGACTACATTTGACTTACAAATTGATTAATCGAATACAAAATAAATATAGCTAGAGGTTAACTAAGATGATCGATTGTCATACTATATATGTAGAGCATGTGATTGCTTAGTGGATATTCGGGTTCGGTGAGTCGGCATCCTCGAAGACAAAGTCCTCCTCCTCTTGGTGCCAGCGCACGCTGCGCTCGTTACTGCTAAATCTGCATATTACAGGGTATCGTGTCGATCGTACCATCGTTTTGTATCGTTTGGTATTTTTTTTTCGGGTTGGCAGTACGAGAAAAAAAGTAAGTTCAGAATATATAGACTTTGTCGCTGTGAACACATAAGAATTTGTGTGTGTTTCGATTGTTACTTTCTCTTGTCAATCAAAAATCAAAAGAAACGAAAACAAAACCAAAAAACACATTCGATAAAAATGATTTAATAACGTTGGTAGAACCTGTTCAAGCCGGCCGCGGGCGGTGGCGGCGGAGGCGGCGCACCGCGTGGCGGAGTGCGACGAGCGCTGCAATTGCAAACATTTAATCATTACTAAGAGTTACTATCTGAAGAAGAAGAGAGTATTGAGAGTCTTACGCCGCCACAGCTTCAGCATCCATGTGTGCACCTGTACCATATGTCTCGCTCTCGTCCATGTCGAACTCATCGGTACCAGTGCGTGTGCTGTGAATAGAATCGGAAAAACATTTGAGTTTTTTGGTTTTTTGCAGAGAAATCATTAAAGGAGTTAGTCTTTGGTTAGTTTTAAAGCTTGCAATACTGTGAGGCTTCTAACTTTTGCAGTTGTCGATTGTCCCTCGATTATGTTATATAGAAATAATATATCATTATTTCATAAGTGAATAAAAATATATATTTTGACTGTGCCTATTAGAGCCGCGACATTTCCTACACTTTTTGAGCTAGGAAAAGCAAGCTTTGTAGGCAGATCACTGCTGAGCTGCCCTTTAGGTAAGCCTAAAGGTCATCTATATATTGGTATAGAAGTTTTACATTCCACGCGAATTAAAATATACTGATGTTTTAGTTAATTTCATCTATTTTTGCTGAAGTATTATTTTTTTATTATTGTAGTGGTAACTATATTTTTAAAAATGTTAATTAATTTATTAAGTATACTTCTAACTAAAGTTATTTTTTTGTCCTTTTGTGCTTGAAACAAATTAATTTTGATTTTAATTAAAATTAAAAATTTAAAATGAAAATATAAAATATAAATTAATATATATCCTTCCATTAAAGCGTCTTTACTAACATTTGTCGAGCTCGGTTAACATATCTGTTAAGTAACATAAATGGTAGACAGACTACGCTAAGATCCTGTTAACTTGAAGCAGTGCAAGCTTTGAGGGAAAGTTCTTTTTAAGTGATGATAGCGCTTGAAATGTTCTGGTTGATATGTTAAGGAATTGTTGGGCAAGATTTGTTGGATGTCAAAAAGGGACTCTATTTTAATTGAGTAAAATATTTGAATTGAAAATAAATTTGAAATAATTGTTATAATTGCAGTGTGAAATGCTTGTTGAGCCGGCACAGAGACAGCGTTGGGTCTAAGGACAACTCACAGATGCTGACTCCGCTTGTTCATAATGTCCTGCACGGCTCGGGCTGTCAGGGAGACTTTGCTACGCAAACGCATGGGCGTTCGGGGCATGGGCACGGCAGCGGGTATATCCGGATTGACGCTCAGAACGGGCGTGACCGGACGACGAAACGCTTCGCTACCAGATCTATCCACATTGCCACTACGTCTTGAGAAATGAGAAATGAGTCGGGTGGGGGCGTGGCACGTGGACTGCAACAGAAACACTTACAATTTGGGCTTAATACGCAATTGGGCACGGCTATCCGACTGTTGCCTACGGGTCTCAGCTGGCTGTGGGCGCTGCTCGGGACTGGCACTGTTTTTGGTGCGCCAGCCGCTGTCTCGCTGCTCATCCTCAAAGTCAAGCTCCTCAGTGCTCTGGCGATGACTGCCAGCGACAACAATAACAACAGAGAGTCAGGGTCAGCTTGGTGGGGTCAGGGCAAGTGGGGCAGGGACTTACAGCGGCGGCTTGATCTTATTTCTGGACTGCCAAACGTTGATGATCTTTCTAGACTGACTGCTCTCACGCTCATTGGAGTTGGCTCTACTCGGCGCACTGGATGAACCCCAATTGTCATCATCGGGCAAAGTGCCGCCGCGACGCCTGCTCAAACATGAAATGCGAGATGAGTGAAAGCAGATGAGGATGCTGGACCAAAGCCTGTGCTTGTGTCTCACTCACAATTGCTGGCGATTGCGCACTGGTGTATTGATGGTGGCCATTTCACGTGCGCGGCTCAGCTCACGCTCACGACTGCGTTGATCACGCTCTCGGTCACGACCACGTTCCAGCTCGCGCTGCTCCGACTCCTGCCGCCGCTGCTGCTGCTGCTGCTGTTGCTGCTGATGTTGGGATGGTCTTGATGGCGTGGATTCTTCATCGGCTATGTCCAGAGTTTCCTCAGTGGCAGTGCGTCGTCTGCCGAACAGAGATTTGTTTTACTTACCTCTCCGTCTCTCTCCTTCTCTCTCATCTTTCTACTCACAGTTGCGGCCTGGCTCTTGCAGTGCTGCTGGTGCTGCGTTCCCGCTGCTGATCCCGCTTTGCTGAGCTGGTCGTGCGCTGCTTCTGGCGTCCACGACTCTCGCTACGATGTTCTCGCTCCTCGCTCCTGTCGCTTCTGTCGCTTCTCTGTCGTCGCTTGCCCTTGCTGCGTGCCTGCGCCCGCTGCATTGCGTTGAGCCGCGTTTCAATCGTGATCAGATTGAGGCCCACTGGCGTGCCAATCGCCCAGAGCAGCAGCGTTAGGAAGATGAAGAACGACAGTCCATTGACAAAGTCCACCAGATTGCGGCACAGAAATATGCGACTCGCATCGAACGTATCGTAGAAGGGGCGGCACTTGGTGGTCGTATCGCCCAGCTGTGACTCCATGGTGGCTCGACTGCTCGTCAAGTAGGTCTTGAGGCTGTCGAAGAGCAGATATCAAGTAATAGGCAAAAGCATAGCATAGTTTCAATCAACGGTCAGGGTATCCTTCAGTCGAACACCCAAGCACTGCTGCACTCTTGACTTGGTTTGGCCATTCATAATTGGAAAGTGATTTTAGAGCTCCTGCTGAGACATGTATTTACCCTAACTGTGGTTTACAACCAGATCTGGTTGCATTTGCTGCACACTCTCTACTTGAAATGCAGTGACTGCTGCTGCCACACACGAAAAGAGAAATGCAATCATGACACTTGGCAAACTTAATCAAACGATTACGACTTTCAATTATCTGATAAAACGGAACAAAAACTATGTACCACAGAGCACTGGAGTTGAGGTTGTTTGCTCGTTTGTTGGTTTGCCACTTGTGAAAAGAGCAACACAACAATAAAACAAACACACACACACGCACGCATGCACACACACGCACACGCAATGGGGGACTCGGTCAGCCACAGGCGTAAGGCAAGGCAAAGCAAGGCGTGTGATTGCCCCCATTGAAAATCACTCAGATTTCAGTGCAATTAACCCGATAATTTCTTGCATGTGTGCGTGTGGGCATGTTGCATGCAGCATGTTGCATGCCGGCTTGCACCACTTACCGCTCAGTGTAGACGCGCGTCAAATTGTGACAGATCTCGCCGGCCTTGTTCTCCAAGTAGCCCTGAATGCTTTTCAAATGATTGAGCGTCTGATTGACCTGCTTGGCCCAGGGATCCCTTTGCAGCTCCAGCGCTGTCAAATGGTAGAGTATCTCGTTCTGCAGATTCTCCAGCGGCTGCAGTATAGCTGCCTGCAAACGTTTCGACCGACTGCCCAGCGTTGTCATGCGAGACGATGTGGCTACGTCCTGAATCTGAAAAGCGAAGCATTTGCAAAGGATTACATGAAGCTTAAGCGGGCTTCGTCACCAGTTGACTTGAAAAGGCAGAGAGCAGATTTTGTTTGGAAAAGTTGCGCTAAGAGGGAGACTTAGTGGCTATATGAATATAGTTCTGGTTTTATATAAAATATATATAACTATAAAAAAAGTCTAATTCTAATAATATTTTTTTAAAATATTCAAATAGTGTTAGGAATTCGATGTAAATCTTTAAATCATGGCAAACAAAGCTGGGATAATATAAAAAATATGTAAATTATATTCAAATTGAAAATATTATTTTTATTTGTTTTATTTATATATGTTAGTATTTATCAAATTTTTATTTATGTTTACTTATTTTTGTTTTATATACATATATATATTTATATATTTCATGTCTTACCTATAATATCTCTAATTTACTTTTATATTTTCTATTAAAATAAATATTTTTTATTATATTATAATTATATTTAAAATATTATATTATTTTTTAAATATTAAATTTATATTTAATTAAATTATTTAATTAATTGAATTTATTTAATTATTTATATATTTTCCCCTTTTTATAATTTTTTTTATTATTTATATTTGAAATCAAATTTGCATTTGTGTCGAATTATTTTTTAAACAAAAGTAAAAGTTTATTTTATGCTCACTAAAAATCGATCTTAATAGAAAACGATTTGCATACATTTGCTTGGCTTAGTTAAGACTTTAAATGGCAATCAATTTGTTGCTGTTGAGTTCGCTCACCTGAAGGGCGACACGTTGCATTTGATCAATGAATGTGGCCAAGTCCTTTTCGGGCGTGGGCGCGCCAACGCTGTTGCGG